TTGGGGATTTGGGGGAAATGTTACGTTCTGCCCGAACCCGACTTATGTTTAAGGGGAAAGTCGCCCAACGGTTGGCGACTTATAAGTCGCCAAACGGTTTGGCGACTTATAAGTCGCCCAACCGTTGGGCGGCTTACCCCTACCACGGTTAAACCCAGCAGTAGATCCGTAAATATTTTTAATCCAACATTATTTTCGTAATTAATTAATTGATTAGCATTAATTCGGAAAAAAACTCATTATTCATAAACCCCAATTACTCTATTTGGAGTGATAAAAAGTACTTCATTTCTGATTTAAGAAGTTGTTCTGTTTGCGTGATCTGAATTTTTTAAGATCTAAGCTGAATTTTTAAGATTTAATCTGAGATTTTTTAATATGATCTAAATCTTTCTGATCAGATCTGAATCTTTCTTATCTGGTCGGATTTGGTCTGAATTTTTTTAATGTGATCTGAATCTTTGTGATCAGATCTGAATGCTTCGGATCAAATTGAGTATTTATTATTATTATTATTATTATTATTATTATTGGTTCGTTCAAAAAAATTGGTATTATTATTAGTTTATTATTATTACGTATATTTATAACTATAATTATAATTATAATTAAGACAATAATTACAATTATAACTATAATTATAACAGTAATTAAAATTATAGTTATAATTATATCTACAATCATAGGTATAGTTAAAATTATAATTATAATTATAACTATATTATACCGTATTTTTATTGCTATAGTTACGATTGTTATAGGATGACTAAAATTATTATAATTATTATGAATATAATTATTGCTATAATTAAAATTAAGATATAAATATTATAATTATAATTATAATAGGTATAATTATTAGTAGACTTATTACAATAATAACAATTTTAATTATAGGAGTAATTATAATTATAGCTATAGGGTTTCGTCTCCATCTCAGAGCCACGAAAAATAGGAGGTAATCGATTCCATGACTTGATCTTGGTGACATCAACTTTCGGACATTCTTGATGGGGGTATGACCCAACTGGACTGTTCTTCTTTTTTGATTGTGTTTGTTCTGTGCTATGCTGATTCTTTCTCGGGCAGTGACGCTCTGGGTTGGTTTGTCTCCCTCGGTATGGGGAATTATTGTGGTGTCCCGACCACCTTCAATTCCTCTAGTCGGGGGTTCTGTCTTCTTTTGGGCTGCGTTGGTAAATAGTTGAGCTCATCCTCTTCCAGAATCACCTCCATGTCAGGAAGCGCTTTGTGATAAAGCTTTATTTCAGTTTTATTTTTCCTTTACTAGTACTTATTTTTATTTTACTTCAAGTAGGTTTGGTTTGCTTATTTGGATTTCTGAAGTACTTTTGATAGACATTATTTCAATTCCGATTGTGTTAGCCTATAATTTTGCTTGTTTCATGTCTAGCGAATTAGATTTATTTGTATGACGTGACTAATTATATGTCTATTGTCAGGGCTTACAATCGGATATGTCATAACTGTCCGGAGGATATCTTGTATGGTTTCTTGATATTATTATAAAAAACCATTCTTTCATATTCCAAAAAGCTACTCTCTCCGTATTTAAAAATTGGGAGCGATACACTTCACTTTTTGGGATGTATTTAAAAATTTGTTACACTTTCCCTTTTTGGTAACTTTTTCCTTTAAAAATATCAGTTACCCTTATTTTTTCTACTTTTTATCTTATCTTTCCTACCTTTTCACCTTCTCCTACTTTTTCTACACCATTCATTACCCCTAGGGTTGGACTCGGGTCCGGCCTAGGCCCGGGCGGGCCGCCGGGTCAGAAATGGTGGACCCGGGACCGGCCCGGGTAACCACCGGGTCCAAAATTGAACTTGACCTGGGCCTGTCCTGGCCCGGTTAGGCTCGAACCCGGTATCAACCCGGGCTGGTTCCGGGCCCAACATTTTGCAAAAAAAGCCTGCCCGGGCTTGGCCCGGAACCGGAACCGGACCGGCTCGGGTCCATCTCTAGTTATATCCTATATGAGCTCCTCATTTTGAAATGTACTAGTGATTACTCAATTTAGTACTACCTCGGACCCGTTAGAAATAGGCATGGGTCCGGGCCGGTCTGGGCCTCGGTCCGGGCCTGATTTATTTATTTTTTGTTTTTCAAAATTTGCAAAAGGTAAATGGTTTGTATTGTGTGTTTTGGACATGTGTGGGGTGTGGGGGTGTGGGGGTAGGAAGTAATTAGAAAAAAAAAAAAGGTAACCAGGCCGACCCGGCCCAAACTGACCAGGGCCCAACCCGGACCCGGTAGGTACCCGGGCCGATTCAGGGCCTCACGAGTCATGAATCCCAAAAAAACCCAGTCAGGCCCGGACCGAGGCCCAGACCCATGCCTATTTCCAACGGATCCGAGGTAGTACTAAATTGAGTAATCACTAGTACATTTCAAAATGAGGAGCTCATATAGGATATAACTAGAGATGGACCCGAGCCGGTCCGGTTCCGGTTCCGGGCCAGGCCCGGGCAGGCTTTTTTTGCAAAATGTTGGGCCCGGAACCAGCCCGGGTTCGAGCCTAACCGGGCCAGGACAGGCCCAGGTCAAGTTCAATTTTTTTTTTTTATTTCTAATTAACACCCGACCCCCCCCCCCCCTTCACCCCCACCCCCCAAACCCCCCAAAAACACCCAACCCTAACCTAGAAAAGCAAAAAAAAATTGAAAAAAAAAATTGAACCGGGCCCGGCCAGAACCTCCCGGGCCAGTTCACCAAAAGTTGGACCCGAGCCCGGCCCGCCCGACCCGCCCAAATGGGCTAAAAGCCCGGAACCGGCCAACCAGACCCAAACAGTAACGAGCCGGGCCGGTTCCGGGTCGGGCCGACCCGGTTTAGTCCATCCCTGGATATAACCTACATATGAACAGGACATATTCAGAGAAGTGTCCAAATAAATACTATATCCATCTTGTTTTATGTGTCTTTTTTTAATTTGACGTAATTATTTATAAAATGGTTGAAAAGGTAATATTCATAATTGAAATTTAAATATAATAATGTGAAACGCCGGAGATCGCACATATCTTTCCTAAAAAGGAAATATGACACACTTATTTTATACCATCCAAAAAGCAAAATAAAACAGATAAAATGAGACATAGTAGTTTAGTTATAAAAATGACTGAGCATTTTTTTTTGCATTCTATAGAGTTTGCGCAAATTTTCTACTCAACTTATTACGTTAAAGTTATCACCTTTTGACAAAATTACTTTGTACACAAATAACTTTCTCCCATCAGCGTCCATATCTTTGTTGTGCCTCCATGACGACGACGATGAACTTTTCCATGTTGCCACCGCCATAAAACGCAACATCTCCAAACCTCCACTCTGCCTCAGAGAAATTCCCCGGTTAAGTTACCGTCAGCTAGGGTTAGACTCGGGCCGGGTCGGGCCCGGGCCGGCGGTTCTATATAGCTGGACCCGGGACCGGCCCGGGTAGCCACCGGGTCCGGGCCGGGCCTCGGGTTTGGTTAATTTTTTTTTTTTTTTGCTTAGCTACCCATCCCTGACCCTCCCTCACCCCCAAACCCCTCCTAAACATCAAGCCCAACCCGGTGGAGCCCAAACAAATGAAAAAAAACCAAAAATAAATAAATTTGGCCCGGGCGGGCCTTGTTATGGGTGACCCGAGCCCGGACCGGAAACCCACCGGGTCGGGCCTACCCGGACCGGTCACTGACCGGGCCACCGGTTCAGACCGGGCCAGAACAGTACCGGTCCCGGGCCGGTTCCGGGTCGGGCCACCCGGCCCGAGTCCATCCCTACTGTCATCCCTAGTGTAGAGAACCTCACCACCTCCGCCCTCTCCAGTGCAAATGCATCTCCTCCGATGAGGCCACCTCCGTCAGACCAAACCAGACCAGTTCAGACCAGACCAGCAAATTACAATCCAAGTAAAAAATTCTAATACTCTTCTGCGCCTTCTTACTCATGCCATCGCCATCATCTCTAGATACCTCAGCGGCGGCACGGCGCTATGCCATGTAACTATGATGGTGCTCTAATGCTCTGAATGCCAATGCCTGAAATGTGACTCACATCAACGTCCCCAAGGTAATAATCCATTTCATTTTCATTTTCATTTACCCCAGTGCCGCAAAGGCTCCCACCTACGGTGGGGGGTAAGAGGGGGTCGGATGTATGAAGTCTTACCCGAGTACTAAAGCACATTACTAACGCACAGAGAGACTGTTTCTGGATTACCCATAGTGAAAATCGCGTCCAAAATTGCATGGACTGACTGTTGTTCCATAACAAAGAAGCACAGACAGTTTAGTGAGTCATTTTGCTTTATTCCATCATAATATCAAACCAAAAAATAATGAATCTTTGGCTCCACTGCAAATGATGGAAAACCCAAGGTAATACTCGGAATCGGATAAACAATCTAAGACGATTATTTTGTCACTATTTTCTGGTATTTATGATATAATTAGTCAATTAATATTGTGGGTTTAAAGAACTTCACAATACAGCATTCGATTCACTATTAAAATATAAGCTCAACTACCAGTACAAACAGACCTTGTGATTGGGAAAAAACTATGTAATGTTCTCTGGTTACAGTTTTTTTACACTCAGGCACCCAGCATACAGTTTCTTACCCAAACTAGGGATGGCAAGCTCCAGGTTCAGGTCATATAAGAAGGGGAGCCCGAACCTTAACCATGTATACTGTTCTGGTTCGAGTTCTCGGCCCGACTACAGAAGCCTATTTTTCATGCACAAAAACAAGGCCGCAATCGGTTTGGTCCTATTTTATAGGAAATGGGACACTAATCAGTTTGGACCCGTTTACAATTACGGTTCCGATCTGGAACAGGAAATATGGTTCAGTTTTCAAGCACAAAAACAACTGGTCCAGGCTCATTTCTGGACCCATGACTGGGTGTCTGGGTCCGCCTGCCCTACTCCAAACCCAACTTTCAAGGCTTTCAGACAATAACTCGAAAATACATCAGGGCACACATTTATGGAGATACACAATGACAACAATAACAAGTTACACAAACCATCAGAAAATGATATGGACAAAGAAGATTCAAATATGGACGAAGTTCATTAAACACTAGTACACTACCAAGTGACACAAAAAATCAACGGAATATTCAGACTGCGATAATACAACACCGAACTTCATCTGAAATTTAACACTACAATAAAACTTAAATGCTCTGAGAAAATGAAAATTATAAATCAACTAACCTGTTGCACCCTTAGTAATGACAAGACTGCCTCAATATCCTTCACTCTTAGTTAAGGCCACATGCAACAGCCACTTTACTTGGATTTAGTAATGTTTCCTATGTTGCTGGCCAATTCAGCAGCAGCGCCAATATATGTATGTGGTGTTAAGTTCAAAAGAGTAGTCTTTGCATTCTGAGGTATTTTTAGACCTTCAATAAACTCTCTAATGCTTTCCTTTGTCACTGTTTTCCCTCGGGTTAGCTCTTTCAGTTTTTCATACGGCTCTGGGACACCATATCTTCGCATCACCTATAATAAGCCAATTGTAAGGCCATTGGGTTCTTTTAAAGCATTAATATATCTCATTAACAAGAACCAAATGACCACTAATACTTGCTACTATTTACAACTACAATTTTCTTTATAGCAATACTTTTCATATTCAAATTAGCTTTTGTGATTCCAAAGAAATTTTTTGTGCAGTTTCCAAATATGGAAATTTCAATTATTGGAACTGATTTAAATTTTTACAGGAAAGATTAAATCTTATCATCAGACAACCTTAAACAACAAAAAATGTACATCTTTTAGATACGAAGTATATCACTGAAAGAAAAAGCAATCAGATTTTGGTATTAGAATATAGCAAAATAAAATTTCCATCATTTGCAATGGAGCCAAAGATTCACTGTTTTTTGCTTGAGAATATGATGGAATAAAGCAAAATGGCTCACTAAACTGTTTGCGCTTCTTTATTATGAAGCAACAGTCAGTCCATGCAATTTTGGACGCGATTTTCACTATGGGTCATCCGGAAACTGTCTTTCTGTGCTTTACTACAGAGGTAAGACTGCGTACATCCGACCCCCCTTACCCCACCGTAGGTGGGAGCCTTTGTGGCACTGGGGTAATGATGATGATGATGAATATAGCAAAATAAACAAAGAAACTTTTTATACAAAATCAAGAAATATCAAAATCCAGCCATAAACACAATAGAACAATACTAGAGATTATGAAAGTATATAAGCATGTGTGCCACAAAAATGACTAGGAGAACTCTACTAAGGTTTGAGAACAAGTACATACAGTTTGTATAGGCTCAGCAAGAACCTCCCATGATTGGTTCAAGTCTTCTTTCAAGGCAGCTTCATTGACCTGTTATAGAGAAAGTTATCAATTTGGAAACTGATATGTTAGACATGTGAAAACCAAAACAAAGCTACTGCTAGTGGAAAATTATAGGAAGATGGGATGCATATCAACAGCTCTGTGAGAACCAGAAATTTTAATTAAAGCATTGCCAATTAGTCAAGTACACCACCAGAGCATCTCGCACCACGATCTCAGGTATGAGTTGGTCTAAAATATATTAAGATGGGAAACCTCCAAAAAAAAAATGTTTAACATAAGTAAACATGTGGCAAAGTAACCAAGACTCTAAGAAATACATTTTCTAGCTCTCCTTTTTTCTGGGGACTTCACATGGTCAGTGCTGACACTGTATAAATGTACAGTGCAAATAAACATAGTACTTCTTTCTGCAGATACACGGAAGCTTATACACGAGATCTAGAATTTCAATATTGATGCCTTTCCATGGAACTGCTGACAGGTAATAAACACTGTACTTTATCACTATAAATATGACACATTACGCTTTGGATCACAATAAATGACAGCCCAGTGCACATTAGCGTCCCCGCAAGGTGAGGGTCCGGGGAAGGATCACACCACAAGGGTGTATAAGGAGCAAGTCTTCCCTTGTCATTTTTTACAAGGGGGCACTCCCAAGACTTGAACCTGTGACCTCTTGGTCAAAAAGCAACACCATAATGGGTGTGACCTCTTGAATCACAAAATATTATTGATTAAAATTTAGGATTGTTAAAACTAACTACAACTCTTAGTGAAGATTGCAATATGATCATTATCTTCTTACACTTCCAATTTTTCACTTTTTATTTTCTATAAGAAGCTCAGTTTCTAATTACAGGCTATCCCAGCCCCTGACCTAAGCAAAGTCATTGACCATGAAATAAGTGAACTTTAAATCATCAGAATATTCATAGACCACGATCATGTATTCATGATGGACCATAACTTTTACCTGAAGCTTTGAAATTCCCCGTAATGCATTTCTATAAGCAAGAAGAGAATGCCCCAATCCTACTCCCATATTTCTCAGAGCAGTAGAATCTGTCAAATCCCTCTGCACATTTAAAGATATAGAAAATGTAATCATAAATGGAACAAAATAAATTTGAGTGCTAAACAAACCAAAGCAACATTAGAAAAGCTTAACCATTACATGTTTACATCATGGGTGTATTGAAAATTTGAAAGAGGTGTAACAGTTTAAGGCACTGAAACATCATATATCCAATTGTTTTGTAACAGATTTTATAAATGAAACTTCGAAAGATAACATAAATAGTTGCAATGTACATGCATATTGGCATGACGTGTCCCTTGATTTCCAAGGACAGAAGCTCATTTAGACTTCAAATCAAATAAGACCCTCCTTCTTCCCATCTTCCTGGTAATTTATTCCAAGCAAAAGACCAAAGTTGGCTAGAACTAATGAATATTATTGCTTATATTTGTGCTGTCTTCAATTCTTTCTTAAGCCCTGTTTCTGGTGGTTTTTATTTCCAAAGTTTATGATAGCTAAAAAACACATTCTAAGAATTTCAAAGATTTCTCAACATAAAAAGATTGTAGATTCTGAAAGTGTTCATGTCCAGGAAATTAAAACTCTGCATCAGAATAGCTTTGATTATAACAACATTAAATAGTTGTATACCTGCCACCGTGATATAGGTAGCTTTGTGCTTAAATGTGATAGGCTTCCATTAGCAACTCCGAGATTTCCTTCGCTATTCTCAAAATCGATGGGATTCACTTTGTGAGGCATTGTTGAAGATCCAATTTCACCAGCTTTAGTTATCTGCTAAAAACTTGAAATGGTTGTTAATTCTTTATAATGTCAAAGATCTAATTCATTCCCTCCCTCCGAAAAAGAGTTGAGGAAGTACAATAAGAGACTGGATCAAGCTATTTACATTTTAAATTATTATAATATGTAATTTAGTTTTAGTCAAAAAAATGATAAACTAGAAACTTTTATAAAATTGCTATGTTGTTCAAAAATTATAAACATTTGTTCAAGAAAATAAGAGAAAAAAAGTTAGTTTTGTCGATGAATCATAAATGTATCATATATACCTGTTTGAAATATCGCAAGGAAATATATCCCCAAATATCTCGATTATAATCAATTAAAATGTTGTTAAACTGGATAATCGAATGAAACAGCTTGGCCATATAGTCATGAGTTTCAATCTGCATCATTAGAAAACCTTAAATTAAACTAAATCACAAGGTTAACAAAAGGTCGAAAACATGAAGTTAACCTATAGTTCCATGATTGCATCATTTAAGCAAGCATCAATTAGGACAAGACCAAGGTAGTCAAATGCGCTCGCCCCAGCGCTTAAGCACACCAGGCGCAGCAAGAAGGGCCTTAAGCGCTTGGGAGAAGGGGAGGCGCACACACCAGGGTCAGGCACAGCATAAGAGCATAAAGCGCATGAAGTGATGAAGCGCTGGGAGGCGCACGCCTGGGTCGCCTGATCCGGAAAAAACTAAGCCTTTTTTTGTTAAAAACTTTCAAAAATAATTTGCCCATATCTTTAATAACACTCAGCCCATCTAAATAATAGGGTAAAACCATTGAAACCTACGTAAAACCTTAAGTCAAGTGCGTAAAAATGTAAAACCTTGGGTAAAACACTAAGCTATCATCGCTAGCCATCATAGCTCTTCAGTCTACTCACTCTTCTCACTCAAGATGATCTACACTGACCAGTTCTTTCAGTTTTCTTCATCATATCAAGCATACTCAGTTTTCCCTCATAGCACTAAACAAGAATGTGTTCTTTTTCATGCAGTCCTCTTCATCCAAATACTCATATAGTATATGGCTATGTATATAATGAAGTACTAGTATATTACTATGTATATAATACTCTATAATACTCATAATTATGTAATAATACTCTGCATTACTCGATATTACTCACAGCACTAGTGTATCGCTATGTATATAATAAAGTAATAATACTCTGTATTACTCTATATTACTCACAGTACTAGTATATTGCTATGTATATAATAGTCATAATACTTTGTATTACTCTATATTACTCACAGCACTAGTATGTTGCTATGTATATAATAAAGTAATAATTACTCACAGCACTAGTATATTGCTATGTATATAATAAAGTAATAATATTATGTAGGCTCACAAGTTTAACAAGGGGAAATAGGCTCCTATTTGATTATCTTTTATTTTTAGTTTTAGTATTAAAGCAATAAATTCTGAATTTGGTGTTTTATTTTTGTGAATCATGACTTTATTTTTGGTGAATCCTGGCTTTTTTATGCATTTGGTTCAATATGATGTTACATGCATCATATTTGGTAATTATAGAATAGTACGTAGTATATGTGATTTTATCAAAGTAATGCGCTTCACCCGAGTCACGCGAGCGCTTTATTTGCACCTTGCGCCCTGGGAGGCCCCTAGCGCTTCAAGTGCGCCTTTCAACTTTGACTACCTTGGACAAGACAGATTCGATAAAGGATCTAATGTGTAATCTTATATAAATGTTTCAATTTAAGTAATGAACATATTAAAGCGTTTATAAAATGTACTACAATGGTAAAGGGTAGATGGAATACATAACGCCCGTGAATTATAAGACCAAGAGAAATGTAGCATAAAAAAATCAAATCCCTCAAACTCGCATTTGTATATAAGACCTTTCAGACTTTCAATAACTTTAGCCATCAGCCCACCACAGTTACTCTACCAAAAATCATATCATTATCTCAAGATTTACATTCAATTGCTTAATGATTCAGTATATAAAAAACCAATTGACAAAACCATAGTTGTTTTACATTTTCATATGTTGTTTTACATTTTCATATGTACCAGGATATGCATTTTGCATAAAAATCTGGCCTTGGTATAGGGCATATGTTTAGGCCTTTAAAATGACTTCACTATAGAAAGCAGATTAAAGTATCAAGAGCTTTCTTTTGCAAAGCTTGCATTGTGTGAAGGCACTTTCAATGGGTAAGGGAACATGCAAGTGTACAAGAGCCAATGTAGTAATAAAACATGGATACGGGAAGATGATGAAGCTTCAAAAATTTGATCGGCTAAAACTTGCAAGTGTACAAGTGCCAATGTAGTAATAAAATCCGGTAAAAATATCGAGTCAAACACAAGGAAACGTTGTTTATATGATTCAAAGTTGAAAGGAGGGTTGATAAAAGATTTAGGAAAAGAACAAAGATTTTTTTTTGTTTTCAAGTGATAATAAAAGCAACCAAGGGTTCGGATTACTCCTAAACGACTCCTATCAATGAATATATGTTCTTTCGTCAATTCTTATGAGTGGAATGTCACTAAAGTATCCTAACTCCTGTTACGGCAGCGAGATTGTGATTAAATCTACGTGTGAATATCGTCATTGTTCACATTCATCTAAAGTTAACCCATTGAATATTAGGCCATTACAAAACCACCATATTCAATTGAGGTATATTTTATCCACAATATGAATATGACTAAGCTTCAAGTGCATGGTTTATAACTCAACATTTATCTCCAGCACAACCCGGTGGATCATGGAAGCCGTCTCTACCTTCACGGGACTTACTATCTGGAACCCGTGCTCCACCTTCACGGGACTTGCTATCCGGAACTCATCAAATGTCGGGGAGGAGAGGAGTGCGAGGAACACTATAGAGAGCGGGGTAAAAGGGGTGCTCATCCATATCACAAAAGAGCTCCTCAAAACTCATTTCAACATCACCGAGCTTGGCCGCCCCTTCACCCTTTCTCAAGACGGAGCAATCGAGAGTGATACCTACTATCACCCAACCACGGCGGCCCAATACGTTGGGCTTGAGGAGAGTTGTTTGCACATTTGGGCTCGCCTATTATGCTATCTCTACTCCTTTATTGTGATGCCTCGAGCTAGCGGGCACAATAAGATAGGTGCGTCGACCTATACTTTGCATACAAGATGCAAAGCGGCCTTGGAGAAATAAAAGGGATTCCTCTTTCGGGCATCATCAATAAACAACTATGGAACGTCATCTTGAGTCAAAATCAAGATAAGACTTTTGTATTCCCTATTTTACTCTCTACCATTTTTCAGCATTTCAATGTTATTGTTAGAGGAGAAGAGGAGAGGGAAACTTATTCCATGCTTGATGATGGTGTCATGAGACATCTACGTTACTTCCAAGCGGCACCCGGAGCACCTAGGAGATGTGCAGACGGCTTCCACCAGGTTGTGTGATACAGTACCGGCAGAGGCTGGGATGAGTAAGCCTTGGGTTACGTATGTCAGGAGGAAGAGAGATTGATTTTCAGTTAGTTTTATTGAGTCAGCATTTTAATTATTGTATTTTCTTTTATTCGTCCTAGGATTGAGTCAAGAAGTCTTTGCTGAATTCTAGTAGTTAGTTCCTGGCACTTCTCCAACTAACATAGTGGAGTAGTGGGTAGTGGAGTAGTGGGTTTCCTAGGCTAGGATTTACTATTTAATAGAAGGTCTTGTTCTCAGTTGTAATCATCTGAATTCATCATTAATCAAAGAAAGAGTCGTAGGACTGTCTTCCTGCAAATTATGCCTCCTTGCTAGATTCTGGCATTGAGTGGTCTATCATTTTTGGTATCAGAGCTTTTCGATCCATTATGGTGCAAACTCGCAATTCCGCCAATTCACAAGATCCAAATCCTCCGCCCCCACCACCTCCTCCTACCCAGCCCCCGTCCATCCTTGAAATTGCGCAGCAGCTGGCTTCCCTTGCCTCTAAACTGGAGGTCTTGGATTCAGTTGTTGCCAAAGTAGCCATCTTGGAGGCGAATTCTCAGCCCCAAGGATCCAATTACAATCACGACGGTAACCCCGAGAGCTCACATCACAGAGGGCAGAGGGTGAGGTCAGCTGCCAATCAGTACGAGGGCATTCATCGGGACCATGCTCGGTCGCCTCATACGCCCAGGCCTGAGCGCACTCCTTACCGTTCTCGGGACGACTACGATGACGACGATGAGGGTCGCCGGAGTTATCAAACTGGCCAACGTCCTCGGGCTCGCATCGACTTCCCGAAGTTTGACGGTGGTGATCCCCGAGGCTGGATACTCAGAGCGGAAAAATACTTTCGCTACTACGATGTAGCGGATGACATGAAGGTCGAAGTCGCCACGGTGTACTTAGAAGGCGACGCCCTGGATCTCTACGCTTGGGTCAACGGCAAGAGGGAGATCCTAGTGTGGGAAGATTTGATCCATGTATTTCAAGAACACTATGGTCCTCCAGATTTCCAGATCCCCGATGAATCTCTATGCTCCATCACACAGACTGGTACGGTTACTGAATACCGTATGGAGTTCGCAAGGCGTGCGGCTAGGGTGAGGGACTGGCCGGAATCCGCACTTCTGGGAGCCTTCGTCTCAGGACTGAAAGAAGAATTGAAGGCTGAGGTCAGAATTCATTCACCAAGATCGGTATTTAGGGCTGCCTCTCTAGCCCTTGAATTCGAGTCCAAATTGGGCTCCGTCCAAAATACCAAACCTACCCAGCCCACTAACAGGCCCAACTATAGCAAACTTCCACAACCTTTTCCACGTCCAACTACGAACCCAAATCTGACCACCGCCCCAACCACTCGGCTTTCTGACGCTGAAAGACAAACACGAAGGGAGAAGGGACTTTGTTTCCGTTGTGGAGAAAAGTTCACCCCTGGCCATCAGTGCAAAACCTCATTTTCTCAATTGGAGTTTACAGATGACAATGAGCAGAGTGTGGACGAGGCCAGCGACGAATGGACCGCTCAGGAAGACGACGGAAAAGTTGAAATTTCGTTCCATCAAATCTCCGGTCAAAACGCTACAGCCACAATGCGATTAAAGGGAACCATTAAAGGGAAGACGGTGCTCATACTAGTCGACAGTGGATCGACCCACAATTTCATCTCCAACACCTTGGCTGTGGAATTAGGTCTCCCAACTGAAGAGGTGCCAGCCTTCGGAGTTACCATCGGTAACGGCGAGGTAATTACTTGCAATCGAATCTGTCCAGATGTAGCCATACACATGCCCGGCATCATCATCCGTCAAGACTTTTTTCCCTTGGCAATGGGGAGTGCTGAATTGGTCCTAGGTATCAAGTGGCTGGCTTCTTTGGACACAGTTAAGGCCAACTGGAAGGAGTTGTTCCTAGTATTTCATCAGCAAGGGCGTAAGGTCAAAATACATGGGGTACACGGCAAACCAGAGAACTCCTCCCTAGCCACGATGTCCCTGACTTTAGCTGACAGCATAGAGCCGAAATCTGACATTCCGGATGCAGTACAGCAGGTATTACAGAACTTCCAGACCATCTTCCAACCACCAACGTCCCTACCCCCGCCAAGAAACCAAACTCACAACATCCCCCTACTCCCAAATGCCAAACCACCTAACCTACGCCCATACCGATATCCCTACCATCAAAAAACGGAGATTGAAATACAGACTTCAGAGCTGCTGAAAACCGGTTTTGTAAGACCTAGTACCAGTCCTTTCGCTAGTCCTGTACTACTTGTAAAGAAGAAAGATGACTCCTGGAGGATGTGTGTAGACTACCGTAAGCTCAATCAGATTACGGTGCCAGATAAATACCCCATCCCCGTCATCGACGAGCTTTTGGACGAACTCCATGGGGCTGTTATATTTTCCAAGATTGATCTCCGTTCAGGGTATCATCAAATCAGAGTTCATCCATCGGACGTTCACAAAACTGCCTTCCGCACGCATTCAGGCCACTACGAGTTCTTGGTTATGCCATTTGGGCTCACAAACGCCCCTTCGACATTTCAGGCAATTATGAACGATCTTTTCCGACCCTTCCTACGCAAGTTTGTCGTCGTTTTCTTTGATGACATTCTTGTGTACAGCACATCAGAAGAGCAGCATGTTCAGCATCTGACAACCATCCTACAGCTTCTACAACAACATCAGTTTTTTGCTAAACCGACAAAGTGCCTTTTTGGCCAGCAGGAAATCGGGTTCTTAGGGCACATTGTTTCCGCAGCCGGCGTCGCTGTTGATCAAGAGAAGATTGCCGTCGTTGCAAATTGGCCAGTTCCAAAGACGATCAAGGAGTTGCGCGGTTTTCTTGGGTTAACGGGTTATTACCGCCGTTTTGTGCAGGGATATGGCATCTTGGCTCGTCCTTTGACTGACTTGACAAAAAGAAACGCTTTCCAGTGGAACCCCACGGCTGAACAGGCGTTTCAGAAGCTGAAGTCCGCCCTCACTACAGTGCCCGTCCTCAGACTTCCCAATTTCAGTGAACCTTTCACTGTGGAATGCGATGCATCAACGGATGGAGTGGGCGCTATGCTATTACAGTCTGGTCATCCTGTGGCGTATTTCAGTAAGGGCTTCTCTTTCTCAAATCGCTTCAAGTCTACTTACGACAGAGAACTACTTGCACTGGTTTTGGCTTTACAGAAGTGGAAACATTACCTTATGGGGTCGAGATTTGTAGTCCGCACTGATCACAGGAGCCTCCAATTCCTCCTCAGTCAGCGTGTTACTACAAACTCACAGCAGAGATTATTGCTTAAGTTACTGCCCTTCGATTTCACCATCGAATACCGACCAGGGAAGGAGAATACCGGCGCAGATGCCCTATCAAGGCGACCACAACAGGCTGAGTTGTTGGCGTTAGCAATTCCTGTCATCCAGGAACTCAAAAATTGGACCGAGGCCATGCAAAGGGATTCTTTCATCAGCAAAATATTGGCAGAAAAACGGGCAGATCATTCCGCTTACCCGCTCTTTTCCATAGTCGGCGAGAAGCTGTTCTTTAAAGACCGATTGGTGGTACCGGATGCAGAGGCCATACGGCACAAAATCATGGTCGAAGCACACGACTCCCCTGCTGCAGGACATGGTGGTTTCGTCAAAACCTTGAAACGGGTCTCTTCGGAATTCTATTGGCCAAATCAGAAAGCTGATGTTCGTCGTCATATTCAGGATTGCACTGTCTGTCAAAAAGCTAAATATGAGACTTTAGCTCCAGCAGGTCTACTGCAACCTTTACCCGTGCCTGTGCAAATATGGGAAGACATCTCCCTTGATTTTATATCAGGGTTGCCCAAATCAGGGGGTTTCGAAGTGATTTTAGTGGTGGTTGATCGCCTCAGCAAATATGTTCATTTCATTGGTCTGGCGCACCCATATTCAGCAATAACAGTAGCCAACCTTTTCTACAAGGATATAGTTCGGTTACATGGCATTCCGAGGTCGGTTGTTTCGGATCGGGATCCGGTCTTTCTGAGCTCTTTTTGGACTGAGCTGTTTCGTTTGAGCCAGACGACGCTAAGGATGAGCTCGGCCTACCATCCACAATCGGACGGACAGACTGAGGTGGTGAACCGCTGCTTAGAAACCTACCTTCGTTGTTTCGCCATGGAGAAGCCTCGTCAATGGAGCACTTTCCTGCCTTGGGCTGAATTTTCTTTTAACACAGGCTTTCACACAGCAGCAGGTATGTCTCCCTTCAAGATCGTTTATGGGCGAGATCCACCACCAATCCTGCCTTTTGTTCGTGGAGAAACACGATTGCCTGACCTAGAAGCACAGTTAGTAGCAAGGGATGAGGTTATTCAGGTTCTCCGGCAGAATTTGTTGAAAGCCCAAGCTCAGATGAAAAAGGTTGCTGATTCTCACAGGAGAGAAGTCATTTTTTGTGTGGGCGATTTGGTCTTCTTACGACTGCAGCCTTACCGCCAGAAATCCTTAGCTCGGAGGATCAATCAAAAGCTGTCGCCTAGGTTTTTTGGGCCATATAAAGTGCTGAAACGCATTGGGTCTGTTGCTTATGAGCTCGATCTGCCGGCTGGGACGAAACTACATCCAGTGTTCCACGTTTCTCTACTCAAACCAGCCAGAGGTCAATCCATTTTTCAAACTCCATCCTCACTGCCTATCAACGATTCCTTTGAGTTTAATGTGAAGCCCGAAGCGGTCATTGCACATCAGTGGAAGAAATTCGGTGATTCCGCTATACTTGAAGTCCTTGTGAAATGGATTGATCGCCCTCCGGAAGAAGCCAGTTGGGAGGAATACGACCTTTTGAAGCAGCAGTTTCCTGACTTTCGACTTGAGGACAAGTCGAGTTTTCAGGGGGTGAGCAATGATACAGTACCGGCAGAGGCTGGGATGAGTAAGCCTTGGGTTACGTATGTCAGGAGGAAGAGAGATTGATTTTCAGTTAGTTTTATTGAGTCAGCATTTTAATTATTGTATTTTCTTTTATTCGTCCTAGGATTGAGTCAAGAAGTCTTTGCTGAATTCTAGTAGTTAGTTCCTGGCACTTCTCCAACTAACATAGTGGAGTAGTGGGTAGTGGAGTAGTGGGTTTCCTAGGCTAGGATTTACTATTTAATAGAAGGTCTTGTTCTCAGTTGTAATCATCTGAATTCATCATTAATCAAAGAAAGAGTCGTAGGACTGTCTTCCTGCAAATTATGCCTCCTTGCTAGATTCTGGCATTGAGTGGTCTATCATTGTGCCGGAAGTAGATGACGATATGGCGGACATTCTAGGAGGAGGGGAAGTTCATGAAGAAGCCCACGACCAAGGAGATGAGCACCAAGAAGAAGAGGCTCGTGCACCCCCAACCGGAGCAACTTATGATATGGATTACATGATCGAGCAATTCGGTCAAATCCATACGGAGCTAGCGGAGCATAGGGATGGGAGGACACCTTTGGAATATGAACCACTATTGTCAAGAGTTGGGGCGGCACTTTAACATACCTCCACCACCACATATGACCCAAACTTCTACTTCCCCCACCGAGGAGATGGAAATGAAAATGATAGTAGGTTATGAAAAAAAGGGAAGTGTACTATACATTTAAACTTAGAATTTTTTTTCTAGTTTTTTGAACTCTCTTTTTGTTACTCATGTGCTTATGTGTTTATGTGTTAATTTTTGCCTCTCTTTTGTTGTTGCCTTACCTTTATTGTTTCTTGTGATGTAAAATTGAGGCAATGTGAAATAAGTGTGGGGGTGGCTTTAGACCTTATAACTTTGGGCCATACATTTTCAAAACATTTTTAGCAAAACACCTTGTCCTCCAAAAATCTTTTTCAAAAGAATACAAATCTAATGTTTCAAAAGGATTATTTCTTAAACACATTCACAAAGAGTTTTGAAAATTTCCTTAAGGACAAGCAAAAGCTCAAGTGTGGGGGTATTTGATAAACGTTTTATTAACGTGTTTAAAGCAATCATTTATAAACGCTTTTATACTTAAATATTCGGTCATTCAGTCCAGGGGCCAGAAGCCGGGCACTAGAGTCATGTCTTATGTAAGGCTAGAGAGGCTTGGGCCACAAAAAATTGTAATAATTAGGGGCCCAAAATTATATATACTCCTTCCGTTCCTTATTAAACTTTACACTTTAACTTCACCCATATTAAGGAAATAAATTTGACTTTACTGTAGAGTACACTGTTTGATACTGTTTTGCACTGTTTTGCACTGTTTGGTGTAGATTTGTTTGCCAAATAAGACAAATAAGGAAGTGTAAAGTTTAATATGGGACGACCCTCAAAGGAAAGTGTAAAGTTAATTAAGGACCGGAGGGAGTATGTACGTAGTATACATTAGTATTATACATATGTATTTTCTTGTTGTTTTTTTTTCCTCTTGGGCAGTTCGTCTCTATTTCTAGGCTCAGGTTCAATAGTTAATTCTATCAGCCTATGTTTTTTTATTTGCTTATTTAGTTATTTTTTTGTACTTTCAGAAAAAAATGCAGGCGCCCTTCACCAAAAGTCGGGCGGCTTTTGGAATTAAATCCTTGAATTAAACTACGACGCCGAAGGTCGGGCACCTTTTACGATAGCCGGGTGGCTTTTGTCCTTTTTTATTTCGGACGCCTTTCTTCAGTGTTGCATAGCTGGAAGGTAAAAGTCGGACGACTTTAATGAAAACCGGGCGGCCTTCACCTTGTTTGTGCATTTTTCTTCATTTTGTTTGTTCTTCGAGATGTGTTTGGTTGACATTTTTCCGTCGGGATTCTTCGTGTGTATTCTCATCCTTGTATTTGATCCAATTATTTATAAAGGTACTTTCTAGCAATGCGAGACAAATGTGTGAGGTTTTTATTCTTTTAAGTCCGTCACCTTTTATGAATGTCGGGCTATTTGAGCAATTAACTTGAGTTATAAATCGTGCACTTAAAGGTTAGACATATTCATATTGTGTATAGAAATATACCTCATTTGAATATGGTGGTTTTTATAATGTCATAATCTTCAATGGGGTTAACTTTAGATGAATGTGAACCGTGACGGGATTTACACATAGATTTAATCACAATCTCGTTGCCGTAACAGGAGTTAGAATACTTTAGTGACATTGCACTCATAAGAATTGGTGAATAACAAATATTTATCGCTAGGAGTCATTCAGGAGTAATCCCGAACCCTTGGTTGCTTTTATTATCGCTTAAAAACCAAAAATCTCTACTATGTTCCTAAGTCTTTTACTAAACCTCTTTCCAACTCTGAATCATATAAACAATGTTTCCTTGTGTTTGACTCGGTATTTTTACCGGATTTTATTACTACATTGACATTTGTACACTTGCAAGTTTTAGCCGATCAATTTTTTGGATTGGGCATTCCTTCAACAAGGGAACTTGTAAATATAAAAGTGAAACAAAATCCACAACCATAAGCATCTTGGACTACCAAATTTAATGAGATTAGCATACTGGTAGTCCACTATAAAAAGATCATAACTGTGAGCAGCTTCATGTAAGCAATGCAATTATGGCGTTTGTCAAATAAAATGCTCTTCTTCGAATGAAAAGCTAGCAAAAAAATATGCCATAATACCTGGGGTACATATGGATTGAAGCTTAAGCCAAGAGATGTTACAAAGTCTTCTGCAACTTGAGGCCAGTTTACATCAGGATATGCAACTAGATGTGCATTGTAGTTTCCAACTGCACCCGCAAACTTCCCTCGCATCTCAATTTGTGAAATGTCATGTCTCTCTGTAAATAACCGATATGAAAAAATAGCCATTTCCTTGCCTAGTGTTGTCGGAGAAGCCGGCTACAGCATAAAGATCAGAATATTTTTCACGATTTAGTGAGCACTGAATATCTTAATAAAGCCTAAGGTCATCTTGGACAAATCCACTAAATTTCAGCCATGTAAAAAATGGACAGTCACACAAGTGTTTACCTGCCCATGGGTGCGAGAAAGCATTGGGACATGTGCAGTCTTTGTGGCTATGTCATTGATTGCAGTAATCAGCTCATCCATGACTGGCAATATAACACTGTTAATAGCTTCTTTTAGCATTAGTCCATGTGCTAGATTGTTGATGTCCTCAGAAGTGCACGCAAAATGGACAAACTCAAGCACCTAGGAATATGATACAATATAAAGGCAAAAAAACTCAGCTCTTGGAAATGGAATACACACAGATTTTTTTTTTTGTACCTAGTTACACCGGAAGACTACAAATAGAAATATAAATAAACAATACTCTCATATTTCTGGAATAGCAGATACTGATATGCCAAAAATTGTAAATCTCATCCATAGTTCATTTACGGCATATAGTTCACCAAAATACATACACACATATATACATACATGATACACACACGCATGAAACATTGTATACAACTAATATACCTTAGAAATTTCTTCATGTGATTGGCATCTTTGTTTTAGGAAGTACTCCACTGCCTTAACATCATGGTTAGTCACTTTCTCGATTTCCTTCACTTCCATGGCATCACTCAAATTAAATCCATCAATCAAGCCATGCAAATACGACTTTGCTCCTATAGAAAAATTGGGAACTTCAGGGATTTCAGGAATTTCTGAAAGCTTCAACAACCACATAACCTGACAACACCAACAAAGATAAGTTTGTTTTTTACAGAGTTGATAAAATTGCAATGCTTATAGGATATAGACTGATAGACTATAGCGAAGACAAAAGCCACTGCAATAGATAAAGGTTGTAGTGCAAAACTTCATTAAATGAACAAAAAATAAAGTTTAGTTATAAGCTGAACCACATTTGTGAGTGGAAAGTCTCATCAAAGAGGTTAGAGCCTTGGAGTCTCATCAAAGAGGCTAGAAGCAAGGATATGCACAGCTCAGGCATGAAATACCATTTTATGATTGTAGCATATGATTGCTAATTTTTCCATCATTTGCAATGGAGCCAAAGATTCATTAGTTTTTGGCTTGAGATTATGATGAAATAAAGCAAAATGGCTCACTAAACTGTCTGCGCTTCTTTGTTATGAAGCAGCAGTCAGTCCATGCAATTTTGGACGGGATTTTCACAATGGGTCATCCGGAAAAAGTCTCTCTGTGCTTTAGTACAGGGGTAAGACTGCGTACATCCGACCCCCCTTACCCCACCATAGGTGGGAGCCTTTGAGGCACTGGGGTAAATGAAAATGATGATGATGAGCATATGATTGCTAAGACTGCTACCTCCAGACCCAAAAAAGATAGCTGTATTCCATCAAGGTACAACTTTTCCGTTTTAGTAAGGTAGAACCATACAACTATTAGGACTCATGAATTGTAGCTGTAGTTTTTAAATGTATTTGTTGGCTTAACTAAATTTAACATATTTAACTTGTTCGTCAATCGTCACACTTCTTTTGGAAATATAGCATCATATGATAAAATTTGTTTTTCGATGCATCTCTTTTTTTGGGTCAAAAAAAAAACAAGTAAGACTTTTTGGGGGATGAATAGAATGTATTATGTTAATACTTAATACAAAAAATTACAGCAAATATTACTTCATAATTGTAAATGCAACACTCACTGATATTTTTCTTCTTTTTCTTTTTCCCTATATACTTTTTCGTACTAGGCTGATGCAGAAACTACATAGAAAGGTTTAAACCCACTAACATAAGCAGAAGCTGTGATATTATGTTATTCTACATATATCAACGTTCATCAAGCACACAGAGAAGAACGCTGAAAAACAATTCGAAGAAAGCGGAACACCTCAACTAGGACTCGAAAGCGAATGAGGCCATACTCGCTCATGAATGGAACCAAGTCCTTTACTTTATCCCAATAGCGACCATCCAATGGGCATAGAGCTGCTAAAGTTGATAATGCTAGATCACAAGAATGATCACCAGACATTTTAACCTGGTTAATAAAAAAGATCACTTCTTCAAGAAACAATATTAAGGAATGAAAAGTGATAGCAACATCAATTCGAGGGTGATACTATTGTTACTATATGTGAGCATAAGTTCAATAAACATTTCACCGGCACATTATATTCCTGAATTTGCACAAGTGTTCAGGTAGTAAAACAACAATTAGGCAAGTAAAATGGCAACTTATATCAAAACACCATATATACGAAATGAGGAACTAAACAAAATATATTCTCATTTCTGAAATGCTAAGGTCGAATATTCACAAAAAAAAAGTTGTGTACATGTCGGAAAAGATTATTAGAAGGTGCTACCTTTTCAATGGTTCCAAATGAGCTGCTCTTGCTTTGCATTTCGGGAGTTGCTCTGCAGCGCATAGATTTAGCAACAATGCTGTAGTGCAAGGATAAACGCAAAAGATGATGGCGAATATTCTGGCGATTAAGCGGTTGGCATCTAAAAGTCGATGTTTGGTTAAAGTTGGGTTTAAGACAAGTCCCTAACTCCATCAGTTAGCGTTACTAATACCTGCGAGTCAAGAACATAACGTGAGGTGTGATGATCTATGATCTCCACCAAAAGAAAAAAACTTGATGATGATACCAAAAGCTACAAATTCTTTCTGCTCGATCGACTACCTCAAGTTACAAATCAACAAGCATTTTCATAAACTACCTTCGAATAGAAATGTAACCGAAGCAAAGTACGTGTAGGAGATGGAATAATCTCACTACCTCAGGTCCGTAGCAAGTGAGGTGCTATTCATTTACTTATCAAATATTCATCGATGGAAGAACCACAGCAAACTCGCAGAAGGAACGGTAAGAAGGTAGGCTACTCGACGGAGAGGCGGAGATGCGTCTTTGGCCGGTGAGGCGGAGCGGCGGCTTGGTCAGGTGAGGCGGAGCGGCCGTGCAGGTGGTGGCGGAGCTTCGTGCTGCGAGTGGCAGAGGTCCTGGTTGTGAAGCGAAAGACAAGTTCGTACGGCTGAGTGGGGGAATGGAGGATGAGTTATGAACTTTTGATAAAGCGTAATTTCTAATAATCACTTTAGTTGCGATGAGTTAGTCATTTAAAAGTCAAAAAGTAAGGGCTTGTTTCCTTATTGAAACCCGAAAAATTGGAAAATTGGAAAACTCGAAGAAGGATTGTTGGAAAACTGAAGAAGAATAGAGTACGTTTTTCTAGTTTTCCAAATTTGTAAAATGTCATGTCATTGCAATGAATTTACATACTTACGTCTAATAGTCGATTCGGTCTCACTCCGGACAACGACCAGGTGATTCCCGTCATATGCGATCAATGACCCGGCAATCCTTGTCTTGTCCGGTCAACGACTCGCCGGTCCCCGTCCTGTTTGGTCAATGACCTGATGGTCTTTGTTCGGTTCGATCGACAATCGGACAGTCTTGGGTCGGTTCCGTCAATGACCAATAATTTGACGGATCAATCTCAGTTTTTTGAAATCATTTTTAAAGTGTAAAATTTTAAAAGAGGCGTTGAGTCGTTAACCAATAGGAAAATAGGAAAATAATTAGTCAAACTAACCGTTGAGATCGACCGGTACCGGCCGGTTTTGGTCCCGACTTTCTTATACGTGAGACCCGGTGCCCTACTTGCGTTGTGCTAGGTTAGGTTCCGGACTAATACCATACTTTCGGTCATCTAGTCGGTCACAGAACCGGGTGAAAATTTTTGATGAACATGTTTTCAGATTTGAAAATGAAAAAACTAAAACATGAAAACAGAAGATAATGTAGCCCCCCGGGGTCGTGTAGATGCCCGTTATCATCACTATAGAGATAAACTCTGAAGCGATGGCCTGAAAATGTTGGTGATTCTTATGTTGGAACAGCAGGACTTCCTTCCAATCATTGGTCTACATCTGTAATAGATGAGCCATATGGAAGTTCTCGCGGGTCATGAAGACCTACAACTGACTCTAGAAGTGCGTCTATGTCCTAGAAATTTCAGAACATTTGGGAGTGATGTTACTAGACACGACGAGATCAATGAAAGTTCAGTGGCATGGGGCTGACGCCACTGTAGTCAGTATCACTTGCCTCAGAAGGAGACAGTAATGAGAGATGCGGTTCCCCGTGAAATATGATTAAACACCTGTCTGTTGGGAGACACGTGAGTGGTCTTGGGTAGGGTTAAGCATGCACTGTTAGACAAGATGCGGTGACTTCTACCCGGGATCTGATTAAATCAGCCTTGAACCTATGGGGATTGTCCAGAGTATTTGAGTAGCTAGGAGTAAATGTTCAATTGATAGCAGGCAGTTGAGGTAGCAGACTTATGATTGATTATTGTTTCCTTGCTCACTTGAGCCTTCTGCTTCCTAATGCTCATAATGTTCACTCACCCACTCGCTCACTCACTTACGCTCGACTTTGTCCCTTGGGTAGGCTTAGTTGGGTTTACTAAGCCATAGGGACATGTTCTCTCATTACTTTCTTGATTTTCTCTCTGTACTCCCCCTCAACTGGAGCACTCGGTGTGCTTTGACATTGTTAGGCACCAGGGAGGATAACATTGAACACTCCCCCTAAAATATATGTTGCATCCTTTGAGAGATTCCTTGCTTTGTCGGTGTAAGGTGCAAAGAGGAGAAAACTGAAACTCCCCCTCAGAATGTGAAAGGTTTGATTGCTCACAGCTTGTCATACCCGCCATGTGTGTGGAGCAATCTGAACAGGTACCACACATGACAGTTTCTCTTAGCTCATCATTTGGAATTTCAGCACGTTTGAGGATCACACGATGTTGATGAGTTAGGGGAGGCTTTAGTAGTTGATTGTTGATTGTTGTAAGATGACCGTTGACGCGAGGTTGATTGAATTATCTACGATTTTCGGACCTCTACGATGTAGTTTAGAAAATCTTTGACCTTTGGCTTGACTTTGAAAGAATTTGATCAGATTTGCCCGAGTTTTGACCTTGACATCGGTGATTTACAAAGTTTGTCAGAAAACGAACGTTTTGACCCTCAAGGACTGCGCGTGAGGGCGCGTGAAAAACGGTTCTAGGGTAAACCCCTAGAATTCATGTAGATCTTTGCGTTAGCTTTCCAACAACAAAAATCGCTTAAATCGGATCACCGAGTCAAAAGTTATGGCCAAAATAGTGCGGTGTCGCAGAAAATCTCGAAATTTTAAGTTTTTGAGGTTTTTTTTTTCGAAGTTGAGGTTCTCAATGTTGAATATCAAGAACAGGTGGGATTAAGGAAAATTCTAAGGCAATACCTCGAAATCCTAATCTCGAGTTAAAACATCGAGATTGTAATCTCGAGTTTGCCTTGAAGAATAATGGCGAAATCCACCATTATTCTTCAAAATCTTCAGAATTTCAAGTTGTTTGGAACATCGAAAACTTTGGAGTTTCGAAAACCTCATAATATCGAAAACTTGTTGTTTGAAAAACATCAGAACATCGAAAACTTCTAAAAACTTTTATAAGCAGAGATTCATTCAGATATCCTATAATGTAAAGCTTCGATGAACTGCGAAGAATGTCAAGTTTCGAACAGTTATGAGTTTCAAGAAACTGCAAACATTGAAATATTCAAAACATCGAGAAATTCCAAAAATCTCGAAATCTTTCAGAATGTCGAAATCCTAAACATCGAGTTCCCAGAACTCAAAATTCCAAAACTTGAAATTCCAAAACTCGAAATTTCAAAACTCGAAGTTTCAAAACTCGAAATTTCAAAACTCGAAATTTCAAAACTCGAAATTTCAAAAATACGAAGTTTCAAAACTCGAAATTTCAAAACTCGAAATTTCAAAACTCGAAATTTCAAAACTCAAAATTTCAAAACTCGAAATTTCTAAACTTGAAATTTCAAACTCGAAGTTTCAAAACTCGAAATTTCAAAACTCGAAATTTCAAAACTCAAAATTTCAAAATGTCGAGTTTAGGAATTCGAGACCCTAAATGTCGAGTTCCTGCAAAAAGAAAACTTCGAATTTTGAAAATCAGAAAACTGTTCTGAATAGCCCTGAAGGTTGAGATTCCTCCTGTATCTGTTTCAAGTCAAAATCGTTTCTGCAGCCATGTAAAAGCATAAACCCGAGATTTCATGTAGAGTTCTTCGAAATTGAAAATTTGCAGAAATCGAAAACAAAGATATGTTGTAGAATCTTTTGAAGAGGCGATTCCAACAGTATAATTTTTACAGATTTTCGTTCACAAACAAGATTACAGGAGCAAAACTCTATATTGAAGAAAAAGAGAAGAAAAGCAGAGCAGTTCTTCGTTAGATCCAAAAAATCGCAGATAGATTCAACCTGTTTCACGCCTAGGCTCTGATACCAATTGATTGTCCCTGTCTTTAACAATCAAACAATCATAGCAGATAAAAAGAAGCAGATAGAAAGATATGAGATATCAAACGAATCTGGTATAGCGTGTAAAGTGCCGTTGCTCTCCCTCGAGAGAGAGAGAGAGAGAGAGCAGCGGAAAACCTAATCTCTCTATCTCTGTGCCTCTATTCTCTAAAGCCTCAAGCATTAGGGTTTCCATAAGTTAGCCTCCTTTTATAGGAGAAGTTGGCTAACTTATGGATTATAAAGAAACTAACGAGTTGATACACATTTGAGGCCTGTATTACACATTTAATTAATAACTACACAAATACAAAGATATTTAAATAGATTTGACACCATAAAATATTCTCAACAACAACAAAGACAAAGATATCTGCGATGCAATGCTGATTCAACACGATTGAACACCGAGGGGGAGATTGTTAGGAATATTTTATGGTGTCCAATCTAATTAAATATCTTTGTATTTGTGTAGTTATTAATTAAATGTGTAATACGGGCCATAAATGTGTATCAGCCCGTTAGCTTCTTTGTAATCCATAAGTTAGCCAACTTCTCCTACAAAAGGAGGCTAACTTATGGAAACCCTAAGGATCGAAAGGCTTAGAGTGCGTAGAGGTGAGATAGAGAGATAGGTTTTCCGCTGCTCTACTTCTTGAGGGAGAGCAGTGGCCATGTTCACGGTATACCAGATTTGGTTTTAATCTTCTCGATATCTTTCTATCTGCTTCTTCTTCATTGCTTATGATTGTTAGATTGTTAGATAACAGGATTTATCAATATTCTTAGCCAAAAGCTAACCGAGCCAAAATCCTAGCCATTTCTTGAACAAAAAAACAGACGTTGCATTTCCGCGACAATATCGAGCCAAATTCCGTGCCAAAAAAAGTGGTTGTTGGGACCGTCGATTTTTTCCCCGAGTCAAATGTTGAGTCAACAAGTAGCTGTTAATACTCCGAGCCAAAACCGAGCCAAAATTCGTGCCAAAAACTATACGTTTGCTTCATTTGATGTTTTTTCGAGCCAAATGTTGAGTCCACAAGTAGCCGTTATATTTCCGAGCCAAAACCGCACCAAATTCCTTGCCAAAAACTATCTGTTTGCTTCATCTGATGTTTTTCTGAGCCAAATGTTGATTCAAAAGCTAGCAGTTATATTTCCGAGCCAAAATCGAGCAAAATGCCGTGCCAAAAAATAGCCATTATACTTCCGAGCCAAATGCCGTTCCAAAATCATCTATATATACACCTAGTATTTGTAAAATCAATTACATCTTACAAATCATACTTTGATTTCACTCCACACTTTCATTGTGTCTTACTCGAAGGCTATTTTCAGTGATGGATTCTCTAGATGGAAGTTGAAAGTTATATTATTGCTATTGACTATGTGGAGATTTTGTATTTAATTTGGATTTCTTAAAAATGACATCGCCGTTTTATCAGGTGTGCAATTTTCATTATTAGTGTTTTAAAATTAATTTCATCCGCATCTTTAATGTATTATTATGTTTGTCTTAATAATATCAATGGTATGTTAGTGATATGTTTTAATTAAAAACTTTACTAGTGTACTTTTAATTTGGTTTAGGTAAATATTTATTAGTTTTTTTAAATATTCATGCATAATGAATAAAGAAAGTAGAAGTTGGATGTATAACCGGCATGTTGAAAATGGTAAAGGATTGAGAAAAGAGTTTGAGAATGGAGTTAATGAATTTATTACTTTTGCACAAGGACAAACTCGGTATATGGATGGAAGTAAAATCAGATGTCTGTGTGCGAAGTGTAAAAATAGAAAATTTCTTAACGCTGAAGATGTTTGCTGGGATTGGTATACAAATGGTTTTATCCCTAACTATTATAATTGGACTTCTCAAGGAGAACCATTCGAGTCATGTCTTTTGCCACAAACTGTAGGAACATCTAGGTATGTTCCCGATGAGATGTCTACTTGGGGAAATTATGAAGAAATGGCATGGGAACAAAAAATAGTTTATGATTTGTTTACTCCTTCTACAATTCACAATATGCATACGAATTGTGATTTCACCGCATACGATAATGTGAATGAGGAACAAAATTTGTTGTTTTATGATGTCGATGCGTTAGACACTGGATTTCAAGATGTGCTCAAAAGTGCGGATCAATCTTTATATTATGATTGTGATGGTCATTCACAGTTATAAGCAGTTTCTGAATTTTTGAATATAAAGTCAGAACATAACCTTTTTGAGAATTGCATGTCCAGAATATTAGAGTCGGTTGGTAGCATGTTACCGCGTGACCATTGTCTCCCCGATACTTACTACAACATGAAAAGTTCGTCTCAGAATTATGTCTCCCTATGATAAAAATTCATGCATGCCATGAAAGATGCATGTTGTTTTGGAAGAACGATGCGACACTAACCCGGTGTAAGTTTTGTAATGCGGATAGGTACAAGTCTATATTAAAGATTTCAATTACATTATAATTGATTTTCATAATTGGAACATTTAATTATATATTCTAAATCTAAATACACCAATTAAGTCATTTTTATTTTTTTAGGAAGTACAAAAGGAATTTTTGTTATTGTTTTGATAAAGTTATATAAGCAAGCATGAAGTACAAAAGTTTGTCTTACAATGGAGAGTTGAAGGATTGATTTGAGAGAGTATGTTTACACCATTCGCCAAAAGAGTGGTAGAAAAGTCAAAGGGGATTCTGTTCCTCTAACTCTCTAAGACCTTTCAACCATGCACACTTTCTCCAACTTTCACCTCTATTCATGCCAATTCCTTAGCCGTTAGATGGTCTCCGTCGTCGCCGGCGGTGTAGAAATGAATCCTACCAACCCTACGCCGGGGACTTCCACCATCACCGACTCCGCCGTCACATTCCAGCCACCGCCCAGCCACCGAATCCTCGAGATCTGTCTCATCTCCGCCCGTGATCTCTCCCCAGTCTCCAAGCCCCTCCGCTCCTACGCCCTCATCTGGATCCACCCCAACCGGAAGCGCTCCACCGGCATCGATCAAGATGGCCACACCAGCCCCGCCTGGAACGACAAATTCTCATTCAGAGTCAACGACGACTTCCTTTGCTCCGATCATTCCGCCGTAAACGTTGAGATCTACACCTCCTCGTGGTTCCGCGACGTGCTCGTCGGCACCGTCCGCGTCACAATCGGAAACCTTATTACCCCTGTTGCCGTCAACGGCCAGAGATTCGTAGCTCTTCAGGTTCGCCGGCCTTCCGGTAATCATCAGGGGATACTGAATTTGGCCGTTTCGCTGATTAACCCAACGATCTACGGTAAATCAGATCCGAATATGTTAGGGCTAAAAATGAGAAAGATGGTGAGCGTACCGGAATGCGACGACGACGAAGATGAAGACGAGGAGAAGAAGAAATTGAACGCCAAAATTCAACAATGGCGAGCCATGAGCGAAGGCCTATCAGATATTAACGTTGATTTTCCCGGGAAGCCGGGATCGATGGTGAACGGATCGGTATGCAATGGTTCAATGGTGAATTACGGGTCCGAACTTTGCTCCGACATTGGACCGTCCGCTTCGATCGTGGCGGCGGAGATACAACAGAAGTCGCAGTTATCGCCGGTTCAGCCCCGGGAATCGCCGGTGAGAAGGGGGAAAGGGAAATGCGAGGATGGAGGGGAGAGTTTGATACTGGAGGATATGACGGTGGAGGAAGCGGCGGCGAAAGGGCTGAACACGGTGAGCGTAGAAAGGTGGAGAACGGCGGGGCCGGTGAGAGGACTTGGTAAGCACGGACATGGAGGGCAGGAAAAAGACGGCGCCGTCAAGTGCTTCGCCAACGCTTACGGGTTTGAGTTCACCATAGTTTGCGGGGCGGGTAACAGTAACGGGAACGGAAGTAGAGTTAACACTAATAATAATAAATCCAGAAAGAAGACGGATTAGCAGCCGCCAGTAGCTCGTCTCTTACAATTGATCGATTCACAGTTGGTTCTTTTCGGTTTAAATCATTAAAGAGCTAATTACAGATTAATTGATTAATTAATTACTAACCCATGTTTCATAACAATACAGTGCAAATTGAGTTGGGATTTTTGGGAGATTTGAATATTTGATTTGCCATTACCATTAAAGCTCAAAGCTCTTGTGTAAATTTTGGTGTAACTCCTTCTCCGGTTAATATATTTATTTATTTATTACTCTACTTATTTATGCCTCTTCCAGTCTTTCCCCTTTTTCTTCAAGTTGTTATGTCAAATATAATACGCAGTGACCTTTTTATTTGGAAATAAACCAAATATAGAGTGCAACTGTCAAACCTTTTTAAGTACTAGTGTTTTTAGCATGCGTTCCGCGAGGAGATGGTGCCCAATGAGTTTTGTAAGAGAAATGTTGTCCAATATTTTAGGGAGGTTGTGTTTGATATTATACGGAGTAGCAAGGATTTTTTTAATAAGTATCAAGACTCAAGAGTAGTGCAATTGATATATTAAATCGGTTAATATGGTCATGTCTAAAATGATGTGTGTGCACCATTGGGCACATCTTCATTTTTTTTGAGAGAGAACTACTTAATTGGTTTTAATAAAGTCAAATGTCAAGGTATTAACAAACCCGACTGTCAGACATAGAATCCTAAGCTTTCGCTAATTCTTTAGAGCATCTTCAATGCTATAATGTGCACGGTGCACATGTGGCATGAGAGATATAGACACAAAATATTGATTTTATAACATTTCTCTCTCCTTCTTTCCACGATCTTTTGTGTTTTTGGCAAGTTTTTCTCTGCAATATTAACCACAATGTCTACATCTAGACATTGTACTTGACATTGTGAAGAAAAACTTACCAAAATGATGTAATATTCTTTAAATAAGGAGAGAGATATTCTATTTATTGTTTTTTGATTGGTTATTTCTCATGCCACATATGTACCGTTAACGTTTTAGCATTGATGATGCTCTTAGCGGCTTTGTTCGATGACTGCCTAACAAAGCTAAAAAAATATTTTTAAATTCCAAACTGATGTCTATGTCCTCCGCTGGTAGACCCCCCTGAAGTCTGACTCGAACCACATCGAATCTTAGGCATAATCACTGCCAAATCAGACTCCACCTGCACCAAGTCCCAATCTTTATTCTTCAGCCAGCTTAGAGCTTCCCAAATCCCCGGCAGTTCATCCTCCAAAGAAGAGCATTTATCCCACCAAGGTTTAGCTACCCTGCAAAAAGCTCCCCAAACTCGTCTCAGACAACCCAGCGTAGGCTTAGCACAAACCACCAGCAGAAACATCAACTTTCATCTTTTTCCAGTCTGCTGCCGGCCATCTCTACAAAGGGTACCCAACGGTATGTCCTCCTAGCTGCACGTTTTCTGGCCTGCATCCATCCCACCACATAAGCTTTAGCCTTCATCATAATTAACTAAGCAACGCCTAGCCTCACCTCTTTCCAAACTCTCTGATTTGTCTTAGTGCACAATCCCCCTCAACCCCACACCAAGGTCTGCAATTCCTCCATGCTCTTAAGTTAGTTTGCAAAACCTGTTTAATTCCTATGAATATTTCAATCTTATAAAGCAGGGTAATCAAATCATAGACTTGTTTAATCATTACCAATGCTAAATTTACTAAGCCAACCACCCTAATGAAAGGGCAAGACTAAAAGACACTTCTTTGTTCTAAGTTCTATGATATGTGATACATGCAAAATCTCATCATCATACCTTTAGTAGACCAAGACATATAATATATTTCATAAACAAACATCTTAGTGTGTGTGTGTGTATATACACATGAGGATCATAGGATCAATCAATTACAATGGTTTTCATTGGTCTTTAGACTTTTGGGGGAAAGTATTCCTCTTTTTAATGATGTTAGTTAATGAAAAAGCCTCAATGACAATTCAAATCCAGTCCCAGAACCTTTGGTAGAAAATTTTCATCATAAATGAAAAGAGAGCTCCCAAAATTTTCATTGTTTTCCAATGTTTTGTAATATGAACTTCATAACGTTTATATCTTCAACAGAAATATAAAGCAGTCCATCAAAAATCAAATAAATTGTCCAAGACAAACAATGAAAATATGAACTTCAGCGTAAGAAAGAAATGGGAAGAGGAAAGAAGATGATTTTGATGGGTTTTAAGTGAACGGTGAAGATTTCGCTATTAAGTATAAGGATAAGGATCGGGGGTGTTTGGTAAATGTCATTTCAACAAAAAATGTTTGTTTGACCACTTTCAACGTTTTTAAAAAATGAAAAACATGTTTGGTAAATAGCTGTTGGACACCGACATTTTTGGACGGAAACGCTGAAATATGAAAGCTTCGAGTTAGCGTTTTGAAATATGACGTTTCTACTAATTTTATGGCCAAACAGCTAAATTACTAAATATCTTCGGACAATCCGTCAACTTATTCCGCTAGTCAAACCCGCTGACTGAATCTGCTATTGACAACCTGCTAACATAATCCACTATCCGCTAAATGTCAAACACGTCCATTGTCTTTGATAGATACACGGGCTATAGTGCTTAGTTCTGAAGTCTCCACAACAATTAAGGCATTTGGACTACAACAACTATTGTTGCACACAATTTACTGTTTACAAACTTGTACACATTGTTTGTGTAAACTTTTTTTGTCTGTCACCGATAAAACATGTTTTGTCTTATACAAAAGCGTGTAAAAGTGTGAAATTTTTTGTTTTTGTTTGGATTAAGGTATTAAATTCAATCTTTGATGAAGGTATAAGTTTCTTATACTTACTAGGCACTAAATAAGGTTTTTTTTCTCTTTCAAAAAACGTTTGAGATCATGCCTTTATATACTCCTCCATTATGCGAACACTTGAGGTGATGAACAACTCCACCTTTTTTATTAAAGAACAAGAAAAGAGTGAAGGACTATAGTATCATATACATCTCTCTAGAAGGTTCTGATTTATCTTTTTGAAAGCTTCATTTAAAATTTCACATTTCTTTGTTAAGAAATAATTACCACTCTTGAGTAGCATTTAGTCATCAAGTATTAAAAACAAAAACACTTACAATATTATACTTATCATTAATGACCTGTTATATTATATTATATATTTATATTATATTACACGTAGTATATACATGTACACTCATCAAATCTAATTTTCAAAATATACCTGAATTACTTTATTTATTTATTACTATTTAAATATATATTTTACAAAAATTATTATTTAAATAATTAAATAATTGTGTTTTTTAGTGACAACTTTAATTTAAAGGGAGAATTTGAGTTTGCACCTCATGTTTTGGGTGATATTTGACTTTGCACCCCATTTTAAAAATCATTAATGTATGCACCCCATTAGCCCAAAAATTGTGATGGAATGAGATGCAAAGTCAAATGATTTTATAGTCAATTGAGATGCATATATTAATGATTTTGAAAATATGTGCAAACTCAAATATCATGCAAAACATGGGATGCAAAGTCAAATATTTAAAAGGATAGTCCGTATATAGGAATATACTGGTAAAACATTAAAACCCCTGTACTCATTTTTAAGACAAAAAACAAAAGTCGTCCGAGAAAACTCAAAGATGTCTAACAATCCAAACTACCCCTCTGTAGTCTGAAACTCTGAACCAACTTTCTCGATTTGATCGACAGTCGTGACAATCCAGGTATGGCTCTTTACTTCTACTTCTCCACTTCTTGCACTTAGAATCTCTCGTCCTATGAGACCACACTACGATTACGGTTTCTTGTAAACTGATCATGAGCAAACCAACCAATTTCCCTAGAAATTTTGATTCTTGAAGCTTGGGTACTCTACTTTTCAATAACTACGAGTAATGTAAATGTTGGTTTTGCGTGATTTAACTGATCGTTGTTGTACTATTGGAAAAATTGACTGGTGTTGCTATTTATTGCTGAAAATTTTCAATTCATATTATGTACGGGGTAGGTTTTAGTTTCCTGGAATGGCAGCATTCATATTAGTATGCCATGGGTTAATCTTGAGTCTTGACCAGTCACAGTTGCAGGTAATTTGAAGATTTCCTGTGGAGTAGATCATTCTTTAATAGCATGGTAATTGCTTCATAAAACTGCTTATTGTTATAATTCTGAGAAGTTTACTTGGTCTTACTATCTCAATTCTTCTACATTGTGGCATTGCATAATTTCATTGGTGACACTTTTGGCTGCAGAATTACATCCTTGGAGCTTTTAAGCCAGCATGCCACATTGTAATCACATTTTCAGATGGGAAGTCACGCAAGCAGGTATATTTATCTTTTTTGGCTAGTAAAGTTGTAATCTTTACTGATTCATATCTAATTGATGTATTTACTCAATACAGATAAATTAATGTATAAATATATAAACCAGTAAATCCTGAGGGATGGATTAAATGACAGTTGTGGAATTTTGGGATCTAATGGCATTTTCAGAATTTTAATCACTATGAATCTTGAAACTCATTTTTCCAATATCTATATACCTCAAGATCTTATTTCTAGTTTTTGTTAGTTGATCATGCTGCACTGGCGCAGTATGCTTCTCAGTAATTTGTTTCCATCATTTGCTTGTTGTCTCAGGTCCCAATGAAAAAGGAAAATGGCCAAACGGTAATGGTCCCCCTCTTCCAAAGTCAAGAAAATATTGTTGGGAAGGTATTCTAGAGTATATCCCCCCCCTTCATTTCTGTTTGATTCATTCCGAGCACATATTATGAATTAATTTGAAATTATGATTTCTGATGTTCTCTTAGATATCAATTGAGCCAATATCAGGAAAGAAGGTTGAACACAATGGTATCAAAGTTGAGCTGCTTGGTCAGATAGGTTAGGCTTAACCCATGTTTTAAAATAATTCACGCTTCTGTTATTTCTGAATACAAAAGTAGTAACATATGTTTTGTCCTTCCAGCCTTCTTCGTATGCAGGCTAGAAGGATAAAATATGTTTTCGTGCTTCTTCTTTTTATCCTTATTGTTGCTTTTATTTGTTTTTTCATCGCAGAAATGTACTTTGATAAAGGGAACTTCTATGACTTTACGTCTCTGGGTGAGTACCTATATTCAATTGCTTAATTAATGAACTAGGATTGATCCACCTTATCTTGGTATACATCCTGTTTTATTTCTTAGTTATTACCCATTTGACATTATTTGTTATTCTGCATTGGTTCTCATTAGCTGTTTCTCATCACCATATTCAGCTCTTTGAAATTCATTTCAATATTTCATAGTCAGACATGCTAAAATATGTATTTTGGTTTTCATATATAATGTCTGATTCAACCCTTGTAGTTCGGGAGCTAGATGTTCCAGGTGAATTATACGAAAGGAAAACATACCCATTTGAGTTTTCAACTGTTGAAATGCCGTATGAAGCATACAATGGAACTAATGTTCGTCTTAGGTAAGTTTTCATATAATATGTTGAGGCATCTTTTGCCCATGTCTTTAGTAGTACTGTTACTACGTATATACCTTCTTTTCTACTCTTATACTTCTTATAATAAAGTAGCAAGCATCAATTTCTTCCTTAAGTAGAATAGTCTTGTGGAAACCTTAAACTAGATAGTTCAAAATAAAGTTTTTTTTTTAATTTCTACTTTCTAGGACAAATTATTAGCAAACTAGTTTCTTGAGTTTAACTCAATGCTCATATAGGTACATCCTCAAAGTGACAATCAGTCGAAACTATGGTGGCAGCATAGTGGAGTACCAGGACTTTGTGGTAATATATGCTTTTTTGTTCTTCTTCCCTTCACTTTGATAACCTCAAGCTGTGTTTTCAAAAGTTGAATGCATGTTCTATCGGTATATCATGACTATGTATGTTAATACATTTAATATAGCCTTCCAGGGACGGAGCCAAGAATTACATATATGGTAGGCATTTAAATAGCGCTCTCTTCGTCAGATGGAAAAGTTTGAAAAGCTTTTCTGTGTATAAAAGAGGACCTTTTATCAAATTACGATAACATTTGAAGAAGTTGGTTAGAAAAAGGAATACAAACATGGCCAATATGTTATATTTAGTTAATCTGTCAACAGAGTTTCTAAATATAAGTCTCACCTATGATTTATAACAATTGTACATCTGTCAAAGTTAAATGTTTACATTGATCAAATTATCAAATATTCAAATATGACTAATTTTATAGCGCGAAAAGAACACTGTATAATTATCATCCATTATGCACTGGTGGTTGAAGGGGGGCATAGTATGATAGGATAATACATAACAATTATATACATGTACTATGTAGTTTTTAAAATGTTCGACTAGCTCTGTCCCTGTACCCTATTATTTTTTAAATGACTAAATAATAGTACCCTAAGCCCTATTTTGAAATGTTATTCTTTGTCCATTATGGAATTTTTACCACATAAGATAATTATGAGCGTATATGGAAATTTAACTATTACCCTAAGCCCTAATAGAATAATTTTTTGTTTTAAATTTATTTGCATGCTATACTTTGGAAATTTCTTGTAAGTTCGGGATTATCGGTTTCCTTATTGATTTTTTTTCTCCCTGTGTTGTTATTCACCTGGCATGATTATTGTCTGGTCTTTAATTATGTTGACATTTATGAATCAGGTGCGCAACTGTAGCATACCTCCATCAATTAACAATAGTATTAAGGTACTATTATGTTAACATAGTGCACTCATGATAGTTGTTCAATTGACAGTTTATGGACATTTGCACATTGAAAGAAGTCTATCTTTAATTATTTATTATTGTATACATTAAACCTCTAGGATGACCAGTTAGTATCTGCTTGGCCCAGCTTTTAGAGGTCTAAAAGTGCACACATATAGAGGATCCATAATTCTAAAAGCTGTATATGTTATAGAGGTCTAAAAGTGCACACATATATGTTTAGCCTGCTACCAAAAGTGATTTTACTTGATCACACTACTTAAATTTGATCTTTAGTTCTTTACCATTATTATCCTAAATACATTTAATCAGTTAGGTCAAATATTCAACCTCTTTTATCCAATTACACTTTTAACTAAAACACTTACAAAAGAAGTACTTTAACTCAAAATAGCTTCCACTGCTAGGACAAACAGAGCTATAAACTTTATTCATCATATTCATTCTTTCGACCCTGTGTAGATGGAAGTTGGTATTGAAGATTGTCTTCATATTGAATTTGAGTACAACAAGAGCAAGTAAGTTCAATTTACAATGTGGTATTCCTATAAATGGAGTTTTGTTTTGGGTGCTTCAAACTTTTTTGTTGGTTTCTACTTTCTACTACTCCCACCCCCCGAAAAAGAGTCTCATTTGAGTAATGTGCATCTTTTTTAGTAAACTCAATAATGGCTTGTACAAATTAACTACATTCATTCATACCCCTCAACATATTGGCTAAACCCGTTTGCAGTTTGGCTTCAGAGAGAGGGACTTTATTAAAAATGAATGTTTACTTTTAAACTGATTTCTCTTTTCTTTGGGATGTAATAAGCAATTTAGCATATATCTGTAACATGACACACACTAAATCTCATTGCAACTAAAACTTTCTATAAATTCAGGTATCATTTGAAAGATGTTATTATCGGAAAAATATATTTCCTTCTTGTGCGAATAAAGATAAAAAATATGGATCTTGAGATCAGGCGAAGAGAATCTACAGGTTCAGGGGTGAACACTCATGTTGAGACAGAGACCCTGGCGAAGTTTGAGCTGATGGATGGTGCTCCTGTCAGAGGTATACATACATACACACACACACACACACACACACTACCCTCAGGTTTAATGGGATTACTGATTAGAAATGCAAAATGATACGCCGTACTTACCCTTGTTTTTACTTTTTAGGATCTTTAGGCTATGTTTTGAGCCAGGAAAATAGATAAAAATAGAAAGGAACGTTGTTTTTAAATCCTGTTTGGTATCCTGGTTCAGCTTTTTGGTCGAACAAATCAAATAAGCAGAGTATTATACCATATGTTTTTTCTCTCAGAAAATTCATCAAATTAATCTATTCTGCTCAGCCTAATAACCATCACCAAACAGACTATTATGTATTGTTTTACCTTGAAAAATGAAGAAAAGTCAAATTTGATGATAACCCGTTAAGATATACATGCTCGATATTTAGGGTTGTAAGTCTATATAAGTTTATAACAGAAACATTTTAATTAAATGGCTTTGAATAAAAATCTAAAATGGATTGTTTTAAGTTTGACCCCCACCCCTATATTATATTTCATTAATAATATCCTCTCTATTTTACTTCTTAATTCTTATTTTCTGTTACCTAGTATTTTCCTTATTCCAAATGGACCCTTGGCCTTACTAAAGTGTCAGCTCCTTAGTCTTCTCTCCATCATCATCAAGATATCAAGGATTAGTAGCATTTTGAACATTTGTAGTAGACTTCATTAAAGTTATCTGATGTTTAAAATTAGGATGATAAAAAATACTCCCTATGTGTATATGATGATCAGAGTTGGTAATTGATATTTGCTATCTCAGGTGAATCCATACCCATCAGACTCTTCTTGAGTCCGTATGAGTTGACACCAACTTACAGAAACACCAACAATAAATTCAATGTGAAATATTATTTGAACCTTGTTCTTGTTGATGAAGAAGACCGTCGGTATTTTAAGCAGCAGGAAATCACATTGTACCGCCTTGCTGACTCATCCTGATTCTCTTGCATGATTTTTTAAAAATCTTTTTACTTTTTTGACACCCATAAGAATATGAGATTAGACAGCTTTCAGTTATGTATAGACAAAATGTAGTAATTATACATTTGTTGATTGTTGGGAAACCTTATTGATATGATGCTTCATCATACTTTCTTTTAAGAATATAATTAAGGAAAATGTTTGGTGGATGACCATCCTGCAATCTTTTCTGATCTGCAAATGGGAAGGTGAGATCGGAACTCAAGGTTTAAATTCATTGGAGTTTCTTGGATAATTAGCTAGCTCAGACCAGGCAGTGGTGTGTGATACTGTGATGGTTTAGAGGAGCCTCTTTTTGGTAAAGGTGATGAATTGTTGGGAAAAAAACCATTTTTTGGTGCTATTTTCATTCATATCCACAACTTTACCAATTTTTGTTGCTATTTTCATTCTAAAGTTCAACTAAACTTTAAAGTTAACCGTCTATTCTAATATTTAAAATTAAAATTTGCATGTTTAGAAATGTACAATGAAAATTATATTGTACCTTGGTTCCTTGAGGGATTTGCAAGATAATGTTCTTAAAGGGATAAAGAGAGTAGTGTTTCTTCATTACTAATAACTAATTTTGGTTAACAATATAGCTAAAAGGTTGATAATGACAAATATATGGGCTCCAAACTCCACTCCAGACTAGTGATAACCCCGGTCTATATAATAAGTGATCAACGATTTTTAAAATTCTCACACATTTCATAATTGTCGTATGCACATTTCAGTGATACATCTACTGTGTTCAAATTTTAAATGTGATACTAGCACATATTTCTTTAAAATAATGTGCTTTTGGTATAAGATAAAAGACAATAAAAAATTCACCGTCTTAATATATTCATCACAAACTAAGTAAAATTAGCTTAGATTATTCAATTAACACCAATTTAGCAATGAGAAAGAAATGTGTGTTAAACAACCATCCAACTTATTGTGTAAAGGGTAAATTATGAAGGATATATTGTTTCTTAGAATTAGTCCCAAAACAATTCCAAATTTTAGTTGCTCGTTTTTTAATAACCGCAAAACTAACCTTAAGTTGCACTTATTGGTATCTGTCGGTCCTCGGTGGCCTTGCTAAGTCCACTTTTCACATTTGACAAATGACAATAAACAATTATGATCATTTATAATTTGTCTATTACTAAAAAAAATTAAAAAATCAGATTTTTAAAACTTACCATGGGACAAATTTAACAATATTTAAAAACAATAATTTATTAATACATTTATAAATAAGACGTCATCAAAGTATAACATTTAATTAGTTTAAAATTTAACAAGTTACACCTATTTAAGATACTACTGTAACAATGGTCTAATAGTCCAATTAGGGATGGACCCAACCAGGTCGGCCCGGCCCGGAACCAGCCCGGCCCGGAACCGGCCCGGACCGGGCTTTTACCCGGTTGGGGTGGGTTGGGCGGACCGAGCTCGGGTCACGTTTTTCTTGAACCGGCCCGGTCAGGCCGGGCCGGGGCCGGGCTTTTTTTTCAATTTTTTGTTTTTCTTGGTTAGGGCTGGGTGTTTTGGGGGAGTTTGGGGGTGGGGGTGAGGGGGGGGGGGGGGGTTCAGGGGTTAATTAGAAAGCAAAAAAAAACATAGAACCGGGCCCAACCCAGACCGGCCCAGGCCCGGACCCGGTTTATACCCGAGCCAGTTCCGGTTCAACCTTTCCCAAAAAAAAGCCCGCCCAGGCCCAGGCCTGGCCCAGAACCGGCCCAAGTCCACTCCTAAGTCCATAATTAAATATCTATGCAGAGTAATGAGCGATGGAGCCAAATCACAGTGCTTTCCTAATAGATCAAACGTTTTGTGAACTGTGAACTGAATCAAACTAGCACTTATAGAGGACAAAATATCTGCGCAGCCAGATGATTCACATTTACTGATTTACATTTCGGAGGCATAGTAGCCTAAAGGGAGTAAGAACAAACGTTGCAGGGTGGCCCACAATAAAAATGGCCATCTCAAGCTGTATATCTCATTCCTATCAACAATTTCTTTTTCTCGATTTAACGTGGCAGGTGTGCAAGTCTGGAAAAAAAAAGAATAAAAAAAAACCTAAGAGCCAAGAAGAAAAGCGTGTATCTCAGCCCAGCCTGAAGCAGTGTAAAGAACGCCAGACAACCCTTTCCAAGTAGTACTGGAAGATGAAGGGTCTCCCTCCTCAACATGCTCTTTCTGCTTCTCAACCACACCGGGAAATAAAGGAACAAATCTGACCCCAAAATGATACCCTAATCTTCTAAGGCTTAAGCTTGAGCCCAACACAATCCCAACATCTGCTTCAAGTAAACAAAGCAAGTCCCCTACCGAATCTCCAATGTAAACCGTCAGTTTCTTCTCCTCTTCATCGTTCCCACTACCACCACCACCAAACTTTTCCTGCTGCTGCTGGAGGATTTCCCTGAAAGCTTGAAGCTTGTCTATCGGGGACTCCACCTTCCTCACCATCTCGCCCGTGCATAAAGATTCTTCATATATGAGCTCATTTGCATGCACCTTCATCACATCCCTTAAACCTCCTATAGGTGTAGTTGACACATAAATAGCAGAAGAATTCTGATAGTAAATTGGTAATAGCATTGTTCTTGAAACGCACTAAGAGCCTAGGGGGCAGGGTGAGGTCAAGCAGGGCTTTAAAAAAATGGGCATCCAAGGAAAGCGTAGCGCCACTTAGGCCCCTAGATGGAGATTTTCGGAAAAAGCAGGTGAGTGAAGCACAATTTACATTAATGGTCACTTAGGATTGGAGGTTTATGGAGGGGTAAGCCCACATATCTTGATATATACTCCGCATTTAAGATTTTTTATTGAAATGAAAAATGATACGTAGTATTAGAGGTGATCATATAAGATTTTGACCACTATTCATTTTTAGAAACATTAGATTATCAAGATATACACTAAGCCCTCGAGAATCTTACCCTCCAAAAAGCTCCATCCAAATTGACCTTGGATGAGATGGCAAACTGGTTTTCTTAAAATAATTCTCAGTTTAGGAAAAAAGAATGGATGCTTGGAATTACTACTTGAATACATGAGTATGTACTAAATCAAGAAACTCTATTACATACCTGATGAAAAGGTAGATCTAATGAGGTCACCACACCAACAATAGGAGAGCACATGAACATCGGCATTCACATTATCATCCTTTCTTCTGACAGATAATATTTGAAAAAATTTGACACAGCCATCTTGGAGCATCAACCGTTCCCCAGCTCGTTTTATGTCTTCCAAATTAAGTCCTTTAAGCACTCCAGATTCAACCACCGTTAAGTTTGCTCCTTTCTCAAATTCTGAAATTTGCTCGAGTGCTTTTCTCAAACCTTCGAAGTAAAACTTCTCTACTGCACAAATACAATCAGAAAGATCTTACAAACTACCTCATCAAATATCGCAAGTAATGAAATTGAGATAAAATTAATTTTACCTTTTTCAGTGACCATAATGTTTTCAATGCACTGCTCATAGTCTTCTGTGTAATTCTTGGAGAGAACCCCCCAAGTGTTTTTCAGATCACCTGATGTCATACGAGCAATTTGATTCTCTGTTTGGATTTGATCAGATTTTGGAGCTGTTATAATTGCAATTTCAGCCAAAATGGCAGACGAGTCAACTGTAGTGCATGTCAAATCAAAATCAGTAAACATCATCAGGTGGCACTTTTCTGGGTTAGGCTCTCCATATAGGGGTACAACAGATTTCTGAACAAGTAGCTGAGCTAAGAAAAAATCAATCTCAAGTTTAATCCCTTGATAATATAGTTTTTCAATTATGTCGAGCTCCTCCCCCGTCAAAGAGACACTTAACTTGTCAAGCAACTCTTCTGTCTGCAATGCAAATGCCTATACAACAAATACAGACAAGATTTGGCACCTTTGTGATAAAAACAAATACCTCCTTGTTTTTTACTTGATGCTCTAGCTTATTACATTTGTTTTTATTTCAAAAACGTTTTAGGAGTATTTTATGAGAAAGAGAAGCATTTTCTTTAATTACCAATGTGTTTACAATGGAGACTAATACTACACATCTCTAACACCTATCTTACACTAGTTATTTGAGACTCCCAATGGATCTGTCAATTATATCTTAATGGTAACAGGTTTACAGAAGGACTAACACAAGGATATAGTTTTTTCTTAATTCCTGTGATATATCCTAAAACATCAAGTAATAATAAAGAGAGAGAGTATTAATTAGGTTAAAAAAAGAACGTGATAAGAACTGAACCTGAAAACTATCAGAGGAGTAGTTCTCAACCCACTTCCTGTACGGATGATTACTCTCACCATCGATAACTCTCTGTAACTCCTTACCGATGTAGGCATAAAGTCTCATGAAAGGTGTCATAGCACCAAGTGTATAAGCTGACAACTTCGTTTTCTCAAAGGGAGTAACAAGTTTACCAGAAGCTTTCACACCTTCAATCTTTCCTGAAGCAGTAGCCAATAAAAAATCTATGCACTTTCTAGTTCCTGGATTCAGACTAGCATCTTTGACAACATCAATCCCCCATTCCTGCCATATTCATTGCAAACTGGTGAAATTGGTCCAACAGGGAAGATAACACTTCCAATACATAAGGTTTCATTTGGAAATCAAAATGGCAGGGCAATTAAAAAACAGAAAAAATTGTTTTTGAACAATCTTTCTAGTATGGAAGCATTTATATACATTAGCTATAACAAATATCTAATACGATAGTATTAATCTATTCTATTTGAAGCATTTTCTTAATTTCCACTTACATTTTCTTTTCTCCCAAATTTCCTCTCCTAATTTTATCTCTACCATTTTTGGAGACCCAATTGGACCACAAAAGATAAAAGGTAACAGAAGCCTCTTCTTGTCTACTGGAGCACTTTAGCCAAGTGTCACAGGCAAGCCCTACAATATATATACTTGGATATACTTGAATATACTTGAACTAGTCTAGTTTCTGATAAGTGTTCTTGAAACATAAAGGTCTTTTTTACCTGGACAAAAGAATCACGCATTCTGAGTTTGTTTAGGGTAATCTGCTTCAACTCATTAATCCCAATCTTTGCATCATCATCCTCTGCACAATCTTCTGCTACCTCAAACCTGTAATGCATCATAATTCTTTGTCCATTATTGACTTGCAAGATGCAACGACCTTTAAAGAACCAAGAATTATGAATAAATAAAGAAACTCTTTCATGATATCTTGCAGTAACACTTTTCTCTCTCTTTCATTAACATTTTATATCAAGAAAGGCAGTAGACTATTTCTCTGTAAGAACACAACCCCTAAAAGAATGTATGCATAAGACACAAAACCCACAGGCAGGAGGATTTCCCAATAAACTGGCGATTTGTTCTACAAATGTTCAATGCATCAAGTTAAAGAATGGGTCAAGAAGCTATATCCGTTGACATTTCTTGTTTGATTAATAAAATGGGCAAGAATGCATCCCAACGGTGAATACATAAAAAGAAAAGGACAAACCCATCGATAAAAAGCAAATATATGAAAGATATTCAAACCGCAGATAAACACAAATTGCACCGATTAAAGGCAAAAGACCGGTTCGGAATAAAAGAGAAAGAAAAGGGAAGAACTGACGCTTGAGCAAAGGGCTCCAGGAAATAAACGTCCTGTGCGACGCAATGCCTGAACGTCTCGAGTTTGAGATTTCCCGAAGCCAAGCAGACGAGAAATGGAGTGTACAGTGCGAAGGTAGCCTCCTTCTTGAACTTGATCCAACACTTCCTCGCTATGCCGACGACTTCATCCAACTCCCTCGGAATGAGTTTCGGATTTCCGACCACAGCCAGCTTTGAACTCGCCGACGCCATTCCAGCACAATTCTTGCTTATTGCGCAGTCACTACCAGTAGTAGCAGTAGCCGAAGATCGGCGGAGATAAGGATAAAATGTATTCAGAAAAACTAGCTCGGGGTTAAATTTGATCAGCGTTGGGGTTGAAACTGGAGATTTATAAGAAGCTACTATAGATGAAAAGAGAGAGAGGCGCATCTAGAAGCTCGGATTCTTTTCTCTACTCGTATATATACTGAAAATCAAGGGATTTAAGTTCGATGGATTCTCATATCAATATTTTTAATCGGGACTTTAGTATTCTTTATTATTGGGAACAACAAACTTAATATCAATGATTGCTATTAAAATCGAACTATTTCTCTGCAAATGCAAATTTGTTTCTGAAGGAAAGAATCTATGGACTTCGCGATTCGGGGAAGAAGAAAGGCTGTGGGTTGTTGCGAAGTTGCTTCCCGATTATTGTAGGGGCAAAGTCGAGTTTTTAATTAATCTTTTGGACTTTTCCTTTAACTTTTTCGATGGGCAATCTGGTCAAGTATGGGCCTTCAGATCTTTGTCAAAAGATAAGCTCGGCCGTCAAAATCAATTACTTTTTAATGGGCCCACATGATAATAGTGGTAAACTATTTTTTGGGGGGAAATTGTCAAATAATCTCGTGAACTTTGCTAACTTTCTTTTTTTTGTTGATCCAAAAAACGTTGTCACTTTTCTATCAAAGCAATTAATTTGTGATTCTTCACATTTCTATCTCCTCTGCACAAATCTCAGTCACACAGTTTTTACTATTCTTATTTCTCACCTACTTTGCACTTGACAAAGTTCACCGGGACGGAGGTAGTAGTTCTTTTACTTCACGAAGTATTAAAAATGATCCTGTTTTGTAGGTATCTTCAGGTTTCCCGGTTGGCGCAGATTATATCGTGCAACCGGCGCACCATGAGGATGGTGCGCCCGGATGCAAAACGACGCAGTATTGCAGTCGGCCCCTTCCCAACAACACTCTCCCTCCCCCAGCCACCATCCTCATCGTAGATTCATCGTGCCCCAGCAAGTAGGAACCGAGCAGCAGTACTCTTCTTCGTCAGATCTGAAGGCGCTCTTCCTTAGTCGAACTACAGAGGCGGAAAACGAATAAGATGAGATGGGATAGAGCAGCATATTAATGTACGCGAGTTACATATTAATATACGTGAGTTACATCTTAATGTATGTGAGTTACACCACGAAATAAACTCCAGCTACATCATTTTTATTGCCCTAATATTAAAAATAAAACATATTCACTATTTATAAAAAGTAATTAAGCTATTATGATCAATTTTTTAGTGTTTACACTGAAATGAATATTTTTTTCTTATACTGTGTATTTGACAAGTTACATTTCGAACGCACTTGAGTTACATTGATCAATAACGCGAGTTACATATATTTACACGCGAGTTACATCATTCATGCTACTGGAACAAAAAAACAGCTACAGTACACGTGTGTACTGTTCACGCATTTTTTTTAAATTGTGCAAAACTACGTCGTTTTTTGGAGTCGGGTATCATGCTCAAGGTGCGCTGGTTGCACCGTATACGAACTGCCTGGTTGGTGTCCACGTGGATGTCTAGTTCGCCGATTTTTACTCTTTAACTTTTATTTCCTTTCTTTCTTTTTCCTTTTTCTCTTTGTCCTTTCTTTTTTATTTCTATTTCTTTCTTTTTTATTTCTATTTCTTTCTTTTTCTTTCCCAAAGACCATGCCCCTATGTTCTTCTCCCCCATTTACCCGTTCTTCTTCCTCCACTCCTCCATGTCTGCATTTTGTTTCTTTCTCCTGCCAAATCTGGTCATTTCCCTTGCTTCAACCTTTCAGGTCTCCATTGCGAACAATGACCAAGGTTCGAAACCTGCGGCGGCCGTGTGGAGGTTGCAGCTCATGCGTGTTGGGCTGAACCTCTGGTGCGCACGGGTATAAGACCTACTATCATTGAGCCGACTGAGTTACCGTGACTTACATCCTCCCAAAAATCCTGTCAGGTCGGGGTGTGGGGACTCCTGGGATGGGAGATTCCACCTTTTTTTGGAACAATAGTAAAAGGCATTGTGGGAAATGACTTAGAAGATACACATTTATAAACACGAAACTACTGGTGGGCGTAGCTCAACTGGTAGCGAGGGAATGCCACGAGGGTTAGATCCCGGGTTCGAAACGCGGCAACGGCGATGAGAGGATAATATGCTAAAATATGCATAGGACATCTTCAAGTACCGGAGACGGACTCTCACTCTCTATCTATCAGATTGGAATTATAGTCCAATTTACATTCTTCCAACGTACCGCCCGATCGGGATTGGGGGCCCTCAGTGTCATCCTTTCTTTTTATAAACACAAAACTTACACATATTTCTGATGCAAAAGAGTGTCATATGCATTGTATGATAGGACGCCTAAACAGAAAAGTAATTTTTTTTTATATGTTTTTTTATAAATGTATATTTTTATGATTGATTTGTGTGTATTGTTTACCGTTTTATTTAGTTTGTAAACATTTGTGTGATTTTAGTTGTAATCATATTTTAATTCTCATTTATAAGTTGTTGTTGGGATATTGACCTAGAGGCCCAATACCCAGATCGGGAAGGCCCAAGGTATCCGGCCCAAGTAACAGGTCCATCACTCCATGATGAAAAGATCCAGTAAGGAGACATACCGAACGGGGTTCGGCCCAAATAAAGGTTGGCCCAATAAGAAGACATACCGAACGAGGTTCGGGCTATATATCATACTTGGGCCAATTTGACAGCATCTTTAGTACGAACCAACATCCCGTTTGAGCAACGGCCAACCAGCAAGTGGCCAGGTGCAGTTAATGCCAGACTATGACATCAGCAAGTGGAAGCATGGATGACCAAGTCGGCGGAACAACGGCCAATCAGCACGAGGCAGCCCATGCTCTCCATTAGTATAAATAGAAGGTTTCAAGTCATTGTAAGGGTTAGATTTTTGATACTCAAGCTCTAGAATAGCATCATTTGCTCTTATTTCTTGTATTAAAGCATAGTTTTCGACTTACTGATCGGGAAATCCTTTGTAATCAGATTGGTTAATTAATACAAGTGGGTTTTCGAGTTTTAGTTAATTCAGATCTTATATTTTCTTATACACTTTGATTCTGGGCCATTCCTGATATATCCAAAGTTCGTGTTGGGCTTTCGGATCTACGGGACTTACCCTCAACATTGGCGCCGTCTGTGGGAAACTTGCAAAAAGTTTCACTTTCTAAACATCCAAAAAACCTCTATTTCTAAAAATGGTCAGAACCAATTCCTATCATACAAACGACGGTTCACACCGTCACGGGAGGAGTCACACCCCGGGGAGTCAAAACCCCCAGGGACAATCCAGTCGAGGATCATATCCTCGTGTTAATGGGGATTTTGTGATTCCCGAATCTCTGAGGAGAAATCCCCAGGCCATGCGTGACATGGCCCAATTCATGCAGCACATGGCAAACGAAGAAGAAGGAGGTTCCAGCTTTACAGGAGAAACTCCACGCGCGGAAACGACCACAGCGTCATCCCGCTCACATACCCATCGGGATAATCGACGTAGCGCCCCACCAGCAACGCATCCCAGTCCCAGTGACCGAACCCCGGTCGGGTCGCAAGCTAGAGGACCAACTCCCGTCGGTCATCATTTCCAGTATGCCGAGCGGGAAAATACTAGGGCCCCTCAGCGGCATTGGGACCGGGACTGTGCGGAGATGAGGGTTCCAACACCGCCCCCTTTGACGGCCCAGGAGGAAGAGATGGCCGAGATGAGGAGGCAAATGAATGAAATGCGGGACCAGATGAACATGGTACCTGTACAACCTGCACCAGTCCAACTGGGGATTACTTCCCCATTTACTAGGGAGCTCATGTACGCGGATATCCAAGGGGGTGCCAAGCCCCCGACCGGCCAAATTTATGATGGGGTGGGAGATCCCCACGTACATCTGAGGAGTTACCAAGGCGGACTTATGCTGCTAGGAGCACCCGAGGCTGCCATTTGCCGTTTGTTTTTCAGCACGCTCAGGGGGCCTGCCCAGGAATGGTTCGGGACACTACAGCCCGGGTCAATCAATAGCTTTACCGAGTTATCAACGTTATTCTTGGCTCAATTTGCTTCCAGTGCCAATCCCAAACGGCACTTCACCTATCTGACCAGCGTGAAGCAAAACGCCATGGAGACCCTCAACCAATTCCTGAAAAGGTGGAGGGATGAAACTTTAACAGTGGGAAGCATGACGGATGATACCGCCATCACCCTGTTCACGAATGCTCTCCGAACGGGGGAGTTGTACAAAGAATTGAAGAAGAATCCGGGCACGGCGTACGCCGAAGTATTAGATAGGGCTCGCAAGCATGCCGCCCTAGAAGAAGAAATAATGATCAGGGATAAGGTCATTACGCCTGCTGCCCCGATCAGACTGGCCGATCGGCTGGGTCCTAGCCCAGTGGCCACTTTACCTCCCAAACAAGGGAGATTTACACCCCTGGTCCTATCAATAGCGGCCATCTATCAGAACGAGAGGGACAATATTCCCATCCCGACTGATTCTGGACAGTTCATGGGAACGGATGACAATGCTTTCTGTAAATATCACAACAGAAAGGGTCATGCCACCAATGCCTGCAGGGCCCTGCAAACAGCAATTGAGGATCTGATCCGTAGGGGCCATCTGGGCAAATATGTGAACAAAGATCCGAATGCAATGGGCACGTTAAAACCGGCCAGGAAACCTAACAACTGGCGCCGGGATGCTCAACGTGACGCCCAGCCTCAGAATGATGTGTATGTTCCTCCCAGGGATGAGCCAGAGGGCTCGGGAGGCCCCGGAAAGAAGCCTCGAATGGAGGTCAAGGTCATATTTGGGGGCGGGGAGACCGGAGATTCGAACGCCGAACGGAAAAGGTTCGAGCGGAGTCTTTATGTGGGGTCCGTCTCCGCTCCCCCCAGAAGAAAGGAAGGACAGACCCGATCACGTTCGGGCCAGCTGATCTACCCAACTCTCCAAGCCCCACAGGGATGAACTGGTGGTGAGCATGTGTATTGACAATGCTTTAATCCGCCGAGTGCTGGTCGATACTGGGAGCAGTGTGAATGTATTGTACCTACAATCATTCGAGAAAATGGGTCTGCAAAGGAGCAACCTGACCCACCAGCGGACTCCACTGGCGAGTTTTACCGGTAACTGCATCGAGGCGGAAGGAACCATCCAATTGATGGTTGAAATTGGAGATGAAACCCACAGAGCGTCACTCCGAATGACGTTCGTGGTGGTAGATATAAAGTGCGCCCATAATGCCATTTTGGGCCGACCGGGATTGGAAGATCTGGAGGCAATAGCCTCTGTCCGCCACTCATGCATCAAATTCCCCACAGACACTGGGGTAGGGGTGGCCAGAACTGACCCAACAACAGCCCGGACAT